GGAACTAACGGGAGTGGGCCTCGTGATTAGGTGTCGTAGATCACGCACGTGGGGTTTGCAGCATTGCCTAGTGAAGCAGCTTTCGAACCTTCGTTTTAGCATTCGTGGATGCGACTCGTGTATCGAAATGGGTGGTCAGGGCGTGGCGACGCCAGCGCCGTTATCTCTGTCCACGTCAGCTTGCTGTCCATACACAACCAGTCCTGCTTCTCGTTCACGTAAGAAATGAGGCCGAGAAGCTCTCCGAGCCGAAATCTCTGGATCGCAGAAGTGCCGCATCATCTCGGTGACCCCTCGTCCTAGGAGCCCATTGGTTTTAGTGGCTCTTGAGTACGATATCCGATAGAATAGTCGTATCCGATCGTTTGTCTGTTTGCATGCGTAACAAGAATCGTCGTCGTCGTTTCACTGTAGTACGACGAAGGCGGTACGATGATTAATCCTTCACCCTACGATGGGCCCAGACAAATCCGCCCTCCTAATCGTCGTGAGCTTCTCAAGAAAGGGCGTGCTTGGCGGCTTGCTCATGACAACCTTCCCAGGGAAGCGAGAGAATGTGATAGAAATACGCACGCCCGTTTCTTCAAGTTTTATCTCCTTACACGTTCAGACCTTGGCCCGAATTCAGATATATCGACGCTTAGCAGCAAAACCTGGTTCCGTCGATACTAGGAGCGAGTATGGAGTGTTGCCAAAACGACACTCTCCGCGCGGCGCGGAAGCGATCGCGAGATCAAGATGACTCGCTGCGACATGGAGGATCTTCAAACTCCGCGAAACGCGGCGCAGAGCACGCCAGAATGGCGTTTGCAGAAAGGTAGGCTCTACAGCATGCTCACCTGAGTAAAGAAAGGGCGAGAATGGGGGGAGTGTGAAGGGTGTGAGGGGGGAAGGAGCAGAACTTAGTCGGTTACCAGGTGTGTACCCTAGTAGTGGGTTCGCAGCAGGGTTTCGTCGCGTGTAGAACAGGGGTCGTGCGGCAATTCGTGCCAGAATTTCAACAAATATCTCTTGTGAAACCTCTAATTTCCACGCCATTCCGTGTCCCACCTCGATTGACCCCTCATCCCGTGCAGCTCATCTTGCCTCCAGCCGCAAACTCTTCGAGTTCCGAGCTTCAAGAGTCATACTGACACGCACGATCAAGATCAAGATCAGCATGATGCTTCTAGGCGCCTGCACGCAAGCGGAGACCACAAACAGCCGCACCAGAGCATGGATTTCGCATGGACCGACTCTCAACTTCACCAAAGAAGAGTCGGCTCAGGGTTTCAGGAAAATCGACCCGAGACACCTGAGAGTCGGCCTGAGACACCTGGGAGTCGGCCTGAGACACCTGAGAGTCAACCTGAGACAACTGAGAGTCAACCTGAGACACCTGAGAGTCAACCTGAGACACCTGCGAATCGACCTGGCAGCGGCGGCGGCGGAGGGAAGCACCTCAACCGTCACGTTGACGGCAAGAAAGTGCGCGTGGTACAGTATCCGTATAAGCCGCTGCTGCCGCGCGACGGGTTCAGCTGGGTCAAGTACGGGCAGAAGAAGCTTACCACGGGCGACAACATGATCAGGTGCTGGTTCATTTCAGTCAATTTTATGCTTGTTTTTTGTACCTCACTGAGATTGGAAAACTCACCACGTGCTGTTCCTGCTCTCTGTCCGCCCTCCCACCCATGGCTCCAGGCTCTACTTCCAGTGCGGCCTGCGCACGTCCCACGCTTGCGCCCCGCGCCGCACAGTCAAACTCACCGCGCCTTCCCCTGCTGTTCCTGTCTATCCCTCCCACGTGTCAGGCTCTACTTCCAGTGCGGCCTGCGCACATCCCACGCCTGCCCCGCACGCCGCACAGTGGACTTGAGTTGCTGGGACCCCTCCGCGCCTCTTTCTCTCAACTACCACTGCACGCACAACCACCCGCCTCACTACCACACCGCCGCTGGTACTAGTGCCACTCCTGGGATGTCCCTGCCCAAAGACCGCTCAGTTAAGGATCGCTCGGTCCGAACGAGGGGTTCTGCTACTCCTTCTACTCCTGATACTGCTGCTACTGCTGCTACTGCAGCTGCGGATGGTGTCAACAGCAGCCCGGCAGGCAAACGGACAGCTGTCAAGGAGGAAGCAACGGCGACAAACGGGGGTGCTGGCAGAACGCTGCAGTGCCCGCCGTCGAGCCTGCCAGCCCTTGCGTCCAGCCCAGTCAGCTGCGGCAAGTGGGAGGTTCCGTCTGTCCCCCCCGCACCCTCCCCTCCTGCCTCCAATGCATCGTCCTCGTCCCGGCAAGCTCCCGCCTTGGCTGTTGCAGACTGGCGGGCTGCGCTGGCAGCACTGCTGATCGGGTCGCCTCTGCCTGCTGCCGCTCCCGCTCCTGCTCCTGCTCCTGCTCCTGCTCCTGCTCCTGCTCCTGCTCCACCTCCTGTTCCTGCTTCCCCTGAGAAGCGTGCTCCTGTGCCGCCCGCCGCAGTGTCATTCTCAGGGAATCAATCGGCCGATGGTGCTCCCGTGCTGTCTCACACACGCCCCTTGCCGGCTGAGCTTCTTGCAGCGTTGGCGCTGCTGGTGCAGTCAGTACTGGCGGAAGGAGGTCGTGTGGGGGCAGAAGAAGGGCTCATGGGGCAAGGAGAATCTGTTCCGGCAGCTGAATGCGCGCCACAGCAGCAGAAGCATGAGCGGCAGGAGAAGCTTCCGAGCTCAGATGACACGGATTCCCCAGTGCCAGCAACTCCTTTCAAGTCAGACTTCCCAGGTTCCACAAACCCGGGTTTCTCTCAGCGGAGTCCTGGGAGGTCCGCAAAGCCGGACGATGTGGACTTCCTTCAGGAAATGAGCCTTGGTGGTGAAGCTGCTGCTGCTGCTGCTGCTGCTCTTGCCGCTGCTGCTGAGTCACACCTGGTGGATTGGGAGGAGTCTGGTGACGTTGGAGCAGATCTGCTAGGGGATGCACTCTCATGGCCTAGCGATTCATGGCCTGATGCTTGTCAACTACTCGCCTTGGAGCAGTGCGTCATCACTGCGGCGCACAGTGAAACGCCTATTTTGCTTCCAGGCCAGAATTCTTGTGATGTCCTGCAGAGCGAAGGCTTTAGGGTGTCTGGAGCTGATGCGGTGGATGAACGGCGGTCCACTGCAAGCCAGCAGCAGCTTGTGATTTGCGAAGATGCGTGTGGAGCAATTCAAGTTGCTGCACGTCCTCTTTGTGAAAATTCAAAGGGCGTCCAAGATTTTTGCAGGGCGTCAGTGGATGTAGGTGAATTTGCCCAGCATGTTTTTCTGGCGACTTGTGGATCGACAGACTCGGTTGGAAGCTCGGGACAGAACTCGTGCAAGGAGTTGGCAGAACTTTTGCACTCCATGAGCCCATCATCGAGTGTTTTTGATAGTTTGGACGAGCTTTATGATGGTGACAGTTGGTAATCCTTATTGTTATCGAATTACTAAATGATTCAGGTGGTTGATTTTCATAGTCGGTTGCGTATATTCTGTCTGAACTGAGCAACCACTTGTGCATGTGAACGCTTCGACGGGGGGTAGATGCTCAGAGTCCCTTTTTGCTTGTGGCAAAGCAGACAAACGGTCTCGAAATGGGATGCTCGAGTAAGGCCCAAAGTGGCCTGAAAGTATGTTAGAATACAGTATAATGTGCATCATCTGAACACCCCAATTTACAGATTTAGTTTCTTTTCTATAAGCGTTAGACCGTTAAGAACCGAATTTACTGTATGAAACTTTCGGGACTCCCCTGATTGGGCCACCCCAACCTTTCAGTGAGTACAGTTCTGTGCTCCCCTCCCCCAACCATGGCGACAAAGGCGTTCCTGGTCGTGCCTTCACTTGAACCAGTATTCCCAGTGCTACTGCTCAGATCTAGCAGATGCAATTCTCCGCAAACGTTGTCGTTGGATTTTACAAGCAGTTGCTCGTCGCATTCACCAGTGTGCCGCCCCACTAGTCCTCTGGGAGCCTCGTGATTAGGTTTCGTAGATCACGCACGTGGGGTCTGCAGCATTGCCTAGTGACGCAGCTTCCGAACCTGCGCTTCAGCATTCGTGGATGCGAGTGTATCGAAATGGGTGGTCAGGGCGTGCGACGCCAGCGCCGTTATCTCTATCCACGTCAGCTTGCTGTCCACTGGACAACCAGTTCTGCTTCTCGTTACTTCATAACAGTTCTGTCAGATCGTTCACGCAAGAAATGAGGCCGAGAAGCTCTCCGAGAGCCGAAATTTCTGGATTGCGGAAGTGCCGCATCATCTCCGTGACCCCTCGTCCTAGGAGCCCATTGGTTTTAGTGGCGTTTGGGTACGATATCCGATAGCATAGTCATATCAGATCGTTCGTGTGCTTGCATACGTAGTAAGCCTCGTCTTCGTCGTTTTACTGTATTGTACTGCGAACGAATGCGGCACGATGGTGAACGCTCCACCCTACGATGGTCCCGGACAAATCCCGCCCCTAGTCGTAAGCGTCCCAGGAAAGCTTGCTTGGCAGATTGCTCATGACAAGCTTTCAGAAAACAACAGCCTTGCGAGAAGATGTAATAGAAATACGCGGACACCCCAGCTCATTTGCCGACGAATCCCGACTTTTTTTCTACATCAAAGTAAACCTGGCTCCGTCACCACTACAAGGTAGCATCGTGATGGAGTATTGCCAAACCGACGCTCTCCGCGAGGCGCGCAAGCGATCGCGGGATCAAGATCATGAGCTGCGGCACGGGGGATTGTCAAGCGCCGCGAAACGCGGCGCAGGACACGCCAGGATGGCGTCAGCAGAAAGGTAGGCTTTACTGATGCTTACCTGAGTAACGGAAGGGCGAGAATGGAGGGAGTGTGAAGGGGGAGGAGAGAGGAGAGTGGTGCAGCGGCAAAAGTTAGTCCTAGGGTTTCGCTTGATTGACAGAGGTCGTGCCATGTCGATTCTTCTGACGTAACTCCTGTCTGAATCTCAATAAAACACCTCTAATTCCCACACCATTCCGTGTTCACTTGACTCCTTTCTGTGCAGATCATCTTGCATCCAGCCTCAGAACTCGCAAATTTTGCACTTCAAGGGCCATCAGGACATGCAAGATCAAGATCCTGATCAGTATGATGCTTCTGGGAGCCTTCAAGCAACTGGAAGCCACAATCAACCTCCGCACCAGAGCATGGATTTCGCATGGACAAGCTCTCAACTTCACCAAAGAAAAGGCCACCCAGGTTTTCAGAGAAATCGACCCGAGACACCTGAGAGTAGGCCGGGGAGACCTGCGAATCGACCTGGCAGTGGCGGTGGCGGAGGGAAGCACCTCAACCGTCACGTTGACGGCAAGAAAGTCCGCGTGGTGCAGTACCCGTATAAGCCGCTGCTGCCACGCGACGGGTTCAGCTGGGTCAAGTACGGACAGAAGAAACTCACCACGGGCGACAACATGATCAGGTGCGGATCTGATCCGATTTGGGATGAAGTTATGGGGACAGATAGGCGCAATGTGGGCCCTTTCGGTCAATGTCATGCCTTTCTTTTGAACCGCACTGTGCCGCTCATCACCTCTCGGGTCAATCGCCCACTTCAGGAAGTTTAGCAGCGCTACTATCTGCTGTTTCTCCTCTAGTTTTCTGATTCCTTCCACTCATGCGTCCTCCACGCTCTTCCCTGCGCCTCCCGCTCTGCTCTCTCCCTCCCACCCGTGCTGCCTCCAGGCTCTACTTCCAGTGTGGTCTGCGCACGTCCCACGCTTGCCCCGCACGCCGCACAGTGGACTTGAGTTGCTGGGACCCCTCCGCGCCTCTTTCTCTCAACTACCACTGCACGCACAACCACCCGCCTCACTACCACGCCACTGGTGCTACTACTAATACCTCCCCTGCGCCTCTGCCGAAAGATAGATCAATCAAAGACCGCTCATTCCGAGCGAGGGAATCTGGTGCTGCTGCATTCACTGCTACTGCTGCTACGGATGGTGTAGACAGCAGCACGGCGAGCAAGCGGGCGGCTGTCAAGGAGGAAGCGACGACGGCAAATGGGGGTGCTGGCAGAACGCTGCAGTGCCCGCCGTCGTGCCTGCCAGCCCTTGCTTCCAGGTCGATCAGCTGCGGCAAGTGGGAGGTTCCGTCCGTATCCGCACTCTCCCCTCCTGCCTCACCCTCGTCCCGGCATGTTCCCGCCTCAGCTGTTGCAGACTGGCGGGCTGCGCTGGCAGCATTGCTAAGTGGATCAGTTCTGCCTGCTGCCGCTCCCACTCCTGCTCCTGCTTCCTCTGACGATTCTGCTCATGCGCGGCAGAGTACGGTGTCTCCTTCGGGGAGTCGTGCGACCGCTGCTGCTCCCTCGCAGCCTCAGTCGCACCTGTTGCCGGCTGAGCTTCTTGCAGCGTTGGCGCTGCTGGTGAAGTCAGCACTGGCGGAAGGAGGGCTCGCGGGGCAAGAAGTATCTGAATCTGTTCCGGCTGAAGGCACACCACAGCAGCAGCAGCATGAGCAGCAGCATGAGCAGCAGGAGAATTTACCAGGCTTGGAAGACACAGACTGCCCCTTGTCATCCGCTCCCCTGACACCAGCACTCTCGGATCCTACAAACTGCCCTCAGCAGAGTTTTGGGACGTCGGAAAACACCGACGACGCAGAATTCTTTCTGGAGATGAGCCCAGGTGGTGACGATACTGCTGCTGATGCTCTTGCTGCTGCTGCTGAATCACACCTGGTGAACTGGGAGGAGTCGGGTGACGCTGGAGCCGATCTGCTTGGGGATTCACTCACGTGGCCCGGAGATTCATGGCCCGATGCCAGTCAGTTACTCGCATTGGAACAGTCCTTGAATTATGTGGTGCAGAGCGAAGCGCCTTCTCTGTTCCCATGCCAGAATTCCTGTGACACTCTACAGACTGATTCGGTGGTGGACGAACAGCGCACAACTACAAGCCAACAGCAGCTTGTGATTTGTGAAGATGCGTGTGGAGCAATTCAAGTTGCTGCGCGTCCGATTTGTGAAGCTTTGACGGGCTTCCAATAAATTTGCAAGACGCCAGTGGATGTAGACGAACGCGCCCAACATGTTTTTTTGGCGACTTGTGGATATACAGATTCCCTTGGAAGCGCAGGACAGCACTCATGCAAACATTTAGAAGACTATTTGCATTCTATTAGCCCATCATCTAGTGTTTTTGGTAGGTTGGACGAGCTTTATGATGGTGAGAGTTGGTAATCCCGTATGTTGATTAATTTATATATCGTGAGGCGTTAATTTTCCAAAGCTGGTTGGTGTAGTGGTTATTCGTTCTTAACTGACGAGTCGATGGACAACATCGAGGAAAACGACGTGTGCAAAGATTCCCTCCAATTTGTGAATGCTCTGACAGCGAAAAGGGCAAAGCCCTGTGCCTTGGGATCTGTTAAGCCACGTCAGCAGGCGGTCTCCTCCACCATCACCGCACATCCAATCATCGAGCTCTTCGTGTCCTCCACCCTCCAGGCACAACACAGCACACACCTTTCTTGCCGCCGCCTAACATAGCCTACCTTCCTTCGTTATTGTCACCTTTCTCTCTCTTTCCCTCTTCTCTTTTTGTGCTCTCGTTTCCCGCCATTCCCAATGCCCTCTGCCTCTTTTTTGTGCTTTATCCTCTGCGTTCCGGAGCCATCTTGGTCCGATAGTTGCTGACGTAAGGCCATAGCTCCTGAAGCATCCGCCTCGATCTTGGAGATTTCGATCGTCTGGTGTGAAGTAATGTGCCTCTAGTATTCTCGCGAGGTTGATTCAAACGCAGTGTTGGTTGATCCACCTCTGGATGACTTGGCGTGCCTGTAAGGCTAGGATTTGCGTTATTGGCGTATTTACCAGGTATTGAAGTATCGTGTGTTTTAGCCATTCACTCTGTCCTCTCACCTCGACACCCAGTGAATTCCTGAAATGACAAAGATAAGCGATCACGTTGAATGATTGCAGCATCCGCGATATAGTACAACTATTAGTGGTTTTGCGCGTCGCCACAATGCTTCTACGGCCAAGCTGCAAAGGACCGTACGGAGTAGTGCCGTCTGGGTCGCCTTCATTGACCAGAGGATATCGAAAACAGATAAGCACTACTTACAATAGCATCCCCGTTGGCCTAGCATCGAGTCCGATCGCTATTCAAACAGCTAATTCGTTCATTCAATACCCCCGATCCGCCAAATCTGACAATCCCATTGGTAGCAGTCGACAATGCAGTGGCGGGAATTTCCCCCCGTTGACACGTGTCATCAGGGGAGGAGACAGAGGCATGTTCCGACCTGCTGTAACGAATCTCGAGAATCGACGGCGGTGTTCGACTCAATTTTCGAAATCGTATGCAAGAATCGGGGGTCATGCAACGCCATGCATAAACGCAGCCCTTGGAGAAACAGCGTCAGGTGACGATGGTGGGACTGTAAGAGAGAACAGCAGTAGCAGTAACAGCAGCAGCAGCGACGGCGCTACATTTAAGGGTAGTCTGAACGAAGGGTCGAGGCCTGTAGCAGCACCGGATAAGACCATTCCCTGGGGAATCATTGCAAGGCGGGTGGCTCTCCTTGTCGTTTCCGCCGCACTGTGCCTGACAGCCGTTCTAGCTTGCCGGCCAGTTCTAGCAGCGGAATCAGCCTCGGCATCCGCATCGCCGATCCTCCCAGCCTCGGCCAGAGCTCTGGTGTCGGACCTGACGCAGCGGGCTCGGGTATGGAGCGTGGGAGCGAAGCCGTCGATGATTCAGCTGCTCAAGGTGCTCCGCGAGCAAGGCGTGCTGCTCGCGGTGCTGCTGGGGCTCTCCGCCTTCTTCTCCATGGCGGAAACGTCTATCACTACTCTCTGGCCGTGGAAGGTGGGAGTTGGGATGGGAAGGGTGGGGTACGGTTATAAGGGGTTGATTAGATTATCGAGAGGTGACGGTGCTGCTGGGGATCTCCGCTTTCTTCTCCATGGCGGAAACATCTATCACCACGCTCTGGCCGTGGAAGGTGGGAACTGGGATGGGAGGGGTGGATTACGGTCATGAATGGTGGATTAGAGTAACGAGAGATGGATGGAATGCAGGATCTGGTGGAATGTGGCTTTATGCTGTAACCTCTCGCTGGTGGCAAAATTAGATCATGCCGCCCTGTGCCTGATCCATATTTTTCTCCCTTCGCTGATACCCCTGGTCAGGTGCGCGAGTTGGTGGAGGAGGAGAAAGTATTCAGTGTGTTCTAGTTGAGACTGTTCAAATCATGCTCCCCTGTGCCTGATCCGCATGCGCTTCTTTCTCTCGCACCCCTGGTCAGGTGCATGAGCTGGCGGAGAAGGAAAAGGAGGGCAGTGTGTTACAGCTGTTGCGTGGTGCCATGCTCTTTCTTACTTGATTTTCGTGCTCTCCCTTTTTCTTGATTTCCCTTCACCCTCCTCTAATCAGGTGCGTGAGCTGGCGGAGCAGGAGAAGGAGGGCAGTGTGTTCCAGCTGTTGCGGCGGGACGTGACTCGCTTCCTCACCACCATCCTCATCGGCACCACGTAATGCCCTCTCTTTCCCATTGCTTTTCTGGCCAATCGCAGCTCCTCCATTCCCCACGCATACCTCTCTTCGTCCATCCTCACCTCCATCCTAATCAGCACCACGTAACGCCCTCGTTCTCTTGCTCACGCACAACTCTCTTCTCCCTTCCTCACCATCATCCTTATCCGCTCCACGCCCCGCCCGCATTTTTGCCCACTACTGTCCTTTCCAATTGTTGCAATTTGGTCAGGGACGTTTCTCCCATGTCAACCTTTCGCAATTCTCGTCCCCTCCTCTCTCCTCTCTCCTCTCTCCTCTCTCCTCTCTCCTCTCTTCTCTCTCACTCTCCACCCTGTCAGGCTGGTGAACATCTGGGCGACCGCGCTGGTCACGGATGCCGCTACAGCCCTCTTTGGGGAGGCAGGAGTCAGCGCTGCTACAGGCGTGATGACGGTACGTGCTGTGGTGCTTCTACAGGCATGGTGTTTCACTTCTAACCAGCCGCATCCATAGACACTCCCTGATTCATGTCTCTCCGCATCCTTACTGCCTTCTTTTGTCCCTGCACTGCACCTGCGCCCGTAATGTCCCTGTGCCCGTGCACCCCCACTGCTCCCCTGCCCCTGCACCGTTACTGCCCCCGCCGTTACTCCCCCTGCCCCTGCGCCCAAACTGTCCCCCGTGCCCCTTCACCCTTACTGCCCCCGCCTTGCTGCCCCACCCTGCCTCTGCATCCCCACTGCCCCCTGCCCTTGTACCCACACTTCCCCCCCTCCCCCCCACGCCCATCAGATCCTGCTGCTGGTCTTCACGGAGATCGCCCCCAAGTCCATCGCCGTGCACAACGCCACCCAAGTCGTCCGTGTCGTGGTATGCACTCTATATTTGGTGGTATGCCCTCAAACTGTCGTGCTATGCATTTCTCTCCCAGTTCCCGCCCCCTTCCCCCCCTTCCCGCCCCCCTCCTGCCCCCTCTCGCCCCCTCCCGCCCCGCTCCCCCACCCCTCCCCCCACTCCCGCCCCCTTCCCCCTCTCTCCCTCCCTCCTCTCTTCCCCCGCTCTTTCTCCTTGCACCCTGTTGATATTTTCTCCCCCGCCTCCTTCACTCCCCTCCATCTGCCTGGACTTCCCACTGTTGCTGGGCCTGGCCATTGCCTTCGCCTCTCCACGCTGTTTCGCCTATTCCACTCCTTCGTTTTCCCTCCCTCTCACCAGCTGCGCCCAGTGGCATGGCTGTCATACGTGCTCTACCCTGTGGGTCGCCTCTGCACCTATGCCGCAGATCATTAAGTGCTTATTTCACTCCCAAATCTCCCCTCCTCCGTTTCCGCCTCTCACCAGCTGCGCCCAGTGGCGTGGCTGTCAGTGGTCCTCTACCCCGTGCGTCTCTGCACCTATGCCTCCACGGGCCTCTTCCGCCTCTTTCCAGCAAGTGCTCTAATCAGACCTTCATTTCCCTCCCTCCCTCTCTCCCCCCCGCCCTCCCTCCCACCAGCTGCGCCCAGTGGTGTGGCTGTCAGTCGTGCTCTACCCCGTGGGTCGTCTCTGCATCTGCCTCAATTATCCATTCACTTATTCCCACTCCCGCATCTCCCCTTCCCTCCTCCCCCCCACCCTCCCACCAGCTGCGGCCAGTGGCGTGGCTGTCAGTCGTGCTCTACCCCGTGCGTCTCTGCACCTATGCCTCTCATAATCATTCACTCAACCCACTCCCGCCACTCCCCTCCTCCCCTCCCTCCCTCCCGTCACCAGCTGCGCCCAGTGGCGTGGCTGTCATACGTGCTCTACCCCGTGGGTCGCCTCTGCACCTATGCCTCCACGGGCCTCTTCCGCCTCCTCGGCCTCAAAACCAGCGGGTCAGTGCTCTCCTCGTCCCAGCGGGTCAGTCCTCGCACGCACCAGCGATGTTTGCAGCACCTCAGGAACCGTTTCTTGTCTCACGGCTACTTTAGGTGTGGAAAGAACGAGTCTGTGTACCAGCAGGTTAGTCTGTGTCTTTCGTCTCGTTCCGCTCGTCGCCACCTCATTGCCTCTGTGGCTTTGAGACGCTGCATGCACGCCTTCTCTGCCCATGCCTGAGCCTGCCAGGAGAGCTTTCTTGACACAGGAAAGCCAAAGATGATGTGGACGGTGCAGTGCAGCTTGTGAGACAGAAGTTTTCTGTATGCTTGTCTGTTCGCTCCTGCCTGCCAGGGAGCCGTTTGTGAGGGAGGAGGAGCTGAAGCTCATGCTGAGGGAGGGTGTGCCTTTGAGACGTCTCACTCACAGTCTCACCCCTCTGTGCTGGCCTGGCCTGTGCGTGTTGTATTGCCACGTGTGTGTTGTATTGTATGGTGTATCACCATGTGTGTGCTGTGCCTGCCAGGGAACCGTTTGTGACAGAGGAGGAGTTGAAGCTCATGCTGAGGGGGGAGCAGCTTGTTAGACGCATCACTCACCACCCGGTGCTTGCTTGCTCACCTGCATGTGCCTGTGCGGCTGTGACCCCCTATGCGTGCCGTATTGCCATTCCTGCCTGCCAGGGAACCGTTTGTGACAGAAGAGGAGCTGGAGCTCATGCTGAGGGGGGAGCAGCTTGTTGGACGCCTCACTCACAGCGCGCTGCCTGCCTCTGTGCCTGTGTGTGTCCATGTCCCCCTGTTTGCTTTGTATTTGCCAGGGAACCGTTCGTGACAGAGGAGGAGCTGAAGCTCATGCTGAGGGGGGCGGAGATGAGCGGCGCCATTGAGGAGGAGGAGCAGGTGAGGAGGGGGGGGAGGGGGTGTGTTGCAATAGGCACGGCGGAATAAGGGTGGCGGATTTGAAATGGCAAGTGAGGGGTGCAAGGCTGGGCAGTGTGGACAAGGAGGGTACGGTACGATACACAGCAAGCCAGCCCAGCCCCCATTTCCCATTCCCCACCTCCTATTCCCCACCTCCCATGCACCTCCCATTCCCCACCTCCCATTCCCCCACCTCCCATTCCCCCACCTCCCATTCCCCCACCTCCCATTCCCCCACCTCCCATTCCCCACCTCCCGTTCCCCCACCTCCCATTCCCCACCTCCTATTCCCCACCTCCCATGCACCTCCCATTCCCCACCTCCCATTCCCCCACCTCCCATTCCCCCACCTCCCATTCCCCACCTCCCATTCCCCCACCTCCCATTCCCCCACCTCCCATTCCCCCACCTCCCATTCCCCCACCTCCCATTCCCCCACCTCCCATTCCCCCACCTCCCATTCCCCACCTCCCGTTCCCCCACCTCCCATTCCCCCACCTCCCATTCCCCCACCTCCCATTCCCCCACCTCCCATTCCCCCACCTCCCATTCCCCCACCTCCCATTCCCCACCTCCCGTTCCCCCACCTCCCATTCCCCCACCTCCAGTTCCCCACCTCCAGTTTCCCCCCTCCAGTTCCCCACCTCCAGTTCCCCACCTCCGACTCCCCACCTCCAGTTCCCCACCTCCAGTTCCCCACCTCCAGTTCCCCACCTCCAGTTCCCCACCTCCGACTCCCCACCTCCAGTTCCCCACCTCCAGTTCCCCACCTCCAGTTCCCCACCTCCAGTTCCCCCAGCAAGGACACGTACGTGCGCGAGGTCATGACTCCTCTCGTCGATGTGGTAGCGGTGGGCTCGTCCGCTTCGCTCATGGAGCTGCACTTTTGCCCTCAGCTCCAAGCCCCCATCCCTCGCACCATTTCCCCTCCTCTACCTGGCAGGACATGATAGAGAATGTGTTGGAAATCAAAGACACGTATGTCCGAGAGGTCATGACCCCTCGCGTTGATGTGGTGGCGGTGGGCTCGTCCCCGTCGCTCATGGAGCTGCGGGAGCTGTGGGTGCGCCACCAGTACTCACTCCCCTACCTCTGTGCCGTCCGTCCCTCTCCCCAACAGGACATGATAGAGAACGTACTGGAAATCAAGGATACATACGTGCGAGAGGTCATGACCCCCCTAGTGGACGTGGTGGCGGTGGGCTCGTCTGTGTCGCTGATGGAGCTGCGTGCGCTGTGGGTGCGCCACCGTTACTCACGCGTCCCTTCACTCCCAACCCCTCCCTTCCCATGCTCCACCTCCCTACCAGGACATGATAGAGAACGTGTTGGAGATCAAGGATACGTACGTGCGTGAGGTGATGACCCCTCTCGTCGACGTGGTGGCGGTGGGCTCGTCTGCGTCCCTCATGGAGCTGCGTGCGCTGTGGGTGCGCCACCAGTACTCACGTGTGCCCGTCTACGAGAGGAGAGTCGACAATATAGTTGGCATTGCCTATGCCATGGACATGCTCGACTATGTGGAGCAGGTGGGGCTGGTGCAGGTGGTATCCTGTGGGTGCATCTGTGGTTGGGTGCGCCACCAGTACTCACGTGTTCCTGTTTACGAGCGGAGGGTGGACAACATTGTCGGCATCGCGTATGCCATGGACATGCTCGACTATGTGGAGCAGGTGGGTGGGGGTCTGTCTGGGGCAGGAAGTATCTGTGTGGGGTAGGTGGGATCTGTGTGGGGCAAGTGGTTAGGGGTCTGGCTGTGTGGTGCAGAAAGGGGGTATTCATGAAGCGCAGGTGGTATCTGGGGGCGGCAGCTCTGTGTGTGTGTTGGTTGCGCTGCCTTGGCTCATCTTTCCACCTTTCTACATATCATCATCACCCTGTCTCTCTGCCATTGCTATCCACAGCTGAGTCATGCTCTACCCCATCGCCCCCCCTCCACTCCACCCCTCCCATCCTCCCTTCTCAACCCTCCTTCCTTTCCCTTTCCTTGTCTTCTCCAAACCGGCCCAACCAATCTGACTCCCTCTCACTGCTCCCTCTCACTCCCCACCTCTCACTGCCTCTTCTCACTGCCCCATCTTAACCCCTTCTTCTACCGCTTCCTTCCCAACGCCCCTTTCTCACCCCCCCCCTCCCTCTCCCTGTCACGGCCAGCCGGAGCTGCTGCATCGCTTGAGTGTGGGCAGGATTGCACACCGGCCGGCATACTTTGTCCCTGGTGAGGAACCACCCTTACGGCTCCTCGTCCCTGTCTCTTCTCACTGAGGGTGCACCCTTGTCCCTTTCCCATTTCGTCACCATCCCAGCGCCTGCCTTCTGTCCTCTTTCCTGCCTGAAATGTTTAGAGATGAGGCCGCCTGAGCAAGCAGCTGCAGAAGCATCTGCACAGCCACTCCCACTCCTTCCCCTGTCCTTTTCCCCCTTCCCTTCCCTTCCCTCCCTCCCCTCTCCACCCATCCACCCACTCACCGACCCCAACCCCCATCCATTTTCTACCCCACCTCTCGTCACCCCACTCCCCCTGCCCATCTGTTTACGTTCTGCTTGTGTGCGCAGACTCCATGTCAGTGTGGAACCTTCTGAGAGAGTTCCGGATCCGCAAAGTGCACATGGCCATCGTGCTCAACGAATATGGCGGCACCGTGGGGGTGAGTAGCTATCACTGCCTGCCTCACGCTCTCTCGCTGTTCGCTCTCACTCTCAAGTTCCTCCCTCGCTGGGCCGGTGAGTTGCCGCTCTCCATCTCATATGCTCCGTATCTCTCCCCTCCTTGCTCACTCCTTCACGATTTTCTCTTCTCCACCTCAATCAACTCCCACTTGCCCGTGCGTATGGTGCCTTTGAGTCGACTCAAAAGCAGACTCATTGCACGCGGTTTTTGAGTCGACTCAAAAGCAGACTCATTGCACGCGGTTTTTGAGTCGACTCAAAAGCAGACTCATTACGCGCGGTTTTTGAGTCGACTCAAAAGCAGTCTCCACCTCATTCAACTCCCACATGCACGTGCGTATGGTGCCATGATGGTGCCCTTATTTTCTACAGTGCCCTCCCACGTGGCATGCCTCATCATGCTCCCATCAGCTGGTGACGCTAGAGGATGCAGTGGAGGAGATCGTGGGGGAGATTTTCGACGAGAACGACTCTAAGGTACCGTGGGGGCGAAGAGTGACTTGTGGTATCGTGGGGGCAAAGAGTGACTTGTGGTATCGTGGGGGCGAAGAGTGACTTGTGGTATCGTGGGGGCGAAGAGTGACTTGTGGTATCGTGGGGGCGAAGAGTGACTTGTGGTATCGTGGGGACGGTGTGATATGGGGCCTCTCTGTGGTAGCTAGAGGAATGGAGTCATTCTCTGGCCCCAACGTCCCTGCCATTGCTAGAGGATGCGGTGGAGAAGATCGTGGGGGAGATTTTTTATGAGAACGACTCCAAGGTACCGTGGGGGCGATGGGATAGAGGGGGCTGTCGATTTTTGAGTCGACTCAAAAATCGACTCATCTCACGCGATGGGTTAGAGGGGGCTGTGCGAGGTAATGCAGACGGCATGAGATTGCCAGATGAACTGAGCAAGGCTGAAGATGGTGTGGGGATCGTGAGTGTAGGATTTGGGGTAATGTCCTCTTTCTGCCTGCCTGGCCCGCCGCAGTTCCTGACTGCTCTGTCATTCCGCCTCTGCCTCTGCCTCTGCCTCTGCCTCTGTCCGTGCGTGTGCTTGTGCTTGTGCGTTTGCGTTTGCGTTTGCACGTGTCAACCAACAGGAGGAGATTCGGCGCAAGACGGGGTACATCATCCAGAGGGCGGAGGGCGGGTATGATCTGGACGCCAAAACCACGGTCATGTGTGTGCGTCTCTCTCTGCCTACGTGTGTGTGCCAGGAGGAGATTCGGCGCAAGACGGGGTACATCATTCAGAGGGCGGAGGGCGTGTATGATGTGGATGCCAACACCACCGTTGACGACCTTGCTGATATCCTGCAAGTCGTGCTGCCGCCCGTGAGTTGTGCTACCCCCCATGAGTCGTGCTTGTGCTGTCGCCTGTGAGTCGTGCTGCTGCCTGTGAGTCACTCCGTGTGTCACATTCCCCGCACGTGGGTCAGAGGAGGGCGGAGGGTGTGTACGATGTGGATGCCAACACCACCGTTGATGACCTTGCTGACATCCTCCAAGTCGTGCTGCCCCCTGTGAGTCATCCCCCTGCTACTGCCCGTGAGTCACTCTCGTGCTGCTGCTGGTGCCACCGCTTCAAACCGGACTGTATCGGCCAGGCCTCACCAAGCTCCTCCATATGATGTGGATGCCAACACCACCGTTGATGACCTTGCTGACATCCTCCAAGTCGTGCTGCCTCCTGTGAGTCACTCTTGTGCTGCTCGCTGTGAGTCACTCTTGTGCTGCTCGCCTGTGAGTCACTCTTGTGCTGCTCGCCTGTGAGTCACTCCGTCCATGGGTCGCATTCCCCACGCGTGGGTCAGAGGAGGGCGGAGGGAGTGTATGATGCGGATGCCAACACCACCGTTGATGACCTTGCTGACATCCTCCAAGTCGTGCTGCCCCCTGTGAGTGTGCTACCACCCGTGAGTCTGCTGCCTGTGAGTGTACTGCTCGCCTGTGAGTCACATTCCCCGCACGTGGGTCGTAGGAGGGCGGAGGGCGTGTGTGATGTGGATGCCAACACCACCGTTGACGACCTTGCTGATATCCTGCAAGTCGTGCTGCCGCCCGTGAGTTGTGCTACCCCCCATGAGTCGTGCTTGTGCTGTCGCCTGTGAGTCGTGCTGCTGCCTGTGGGTCACTCCGTGTGTCACATTCCCCGCACGTGGGTCAGAAGAGGCCGGAGGGCGGAGGGCGTGTATGATGTGGATGCCAACACCACCGTTGACGACCTTGCTGATATCCTGCAAGTCGTGCTGCCGCCCGTGAGTTGTGCTACCCCCCATGAGTCGTGCTTGTGCTGTCGCCTGTGAGTCGTGCTGCTGCCTGTGGGTCACTCCGTGTGTCACATTCCCCGCACGTGGGTCAGAAGAGGCCGGAGGGCGGAGGGCGTGTATGATGTGGATGCCAACACCACCGTTGATGACCTTGCTGATATCCTTCAAGTCGTGCTGCCTCCCGTGAGTCATGCCTGTTCTGCTCGCCAGTGAGTCGTGCTGCTGCCACCTGTGAGTCGCTCTTGTGGTGAGTCGCTCTTGTGGTGACTCGCTCTTGTGGTGTTCCTTCTATGAGACGGTGTCGGGGTTCGTGTGGGAGGCGTTTTGGGTACATTCCCCGCACAGGCGACACCAAGATAATTTGGTTGCTCTCTCCTGCTTTCCCCGCACGTGTGTTCTTTCCAGAGAGCCTCCTTCTACGAGACGGTGTCTGGGTTTGTGTGTGAGGCGTTTGGATACATTCCCCGCACGGGCGACACCAAGATCATCAGGCTGCTCCTTCCTGCCTTCCCCCTCTCTCCCTTCCTGCCTTCCGCAACCCCTTCCCCCTCTCTCCCTTCCTCCTTTCCAGAGAGCTTCCTTCTACGAGACGGTATCTGGGTTTGTGTGTGAGGCGTTTGGGTACATTCCCCGCACGGGCGACACCAAGATAATTTGGTTGCTCTCTCCTACTTTCCCTGCACGTGTGTTCTTTGCAGAGAGCCTCCTTCTATGAGACGGTTTCTGGGTTCGTGTGCGAGGCGTTTGGGTACATTCCCCGCACGGGCGACACCAAGATAATCAGGCTGCAGCGGAAGGAGAGTGAGGAGGAGGAGGAGGGCGAGGGGGCGGAGGAGGGAGGAGCGGGCGGGAAGGGAGGGAAGGGGCAGAGGGACGGCGGGGACAAGGGGACGCGAAAGCAGCTGCTCCGGTTTCAACTCGAGGTGACTTGGGAGTCTTAGTAGCCGTTTTCTGTTGGCACATTCATGTTTGCGTTTCTCTTTCGGCATTGTTCTGAGTCACCTTGTAATGCGTCCTTTTCCAGCTTCTAACATTGATATCTATCTCAAAAGGTACCTTCACTCTTCCCGCCCTGCTTCCCCTCTGCCTCTCGCCTGGGTGGCAGATTTTGTCTGGTAATGCGAGGAAGGTGGTGGCAGTTCGATTCGAAGAGCTGAAAGAGACGGAAGGGGCCAGTGGGGGCGGTGTGAAGGGAAAGCTGGGGGCGGGGAAGGAAGAGGAGGATATAGAGAAGGAGACGGAGAGGAAGAGAGAGAAGGATAGGGAGCGGGCGCTGGTAGAGGAGTGGGAGAGTGAGAAGAGGAGGGAGGGGAGGAGGAAGGAGAGGATTAGCCAGGAAGTGAGGTCGAGGGGGTTGGGTGAAGTGGGGAGAGGGGAGGGGGAAGGGACGGGGGAGGGGGAGAGTAAGTGCGAGACATGTGAGCAGATGAAGCTGGGGAGGGGGAAAGCGGGGGGGAGGGGGGTGTTACTGGATAGTGAGAGTGAGGGGGAGGAGGGAGAGGTTCTGATGGGTGGAGGGTGGTTGACGAGCGGAGATGGGGAGGAAGGGATGTATTCTGAGGGTGTGTATACGGATTCCGATCTGGGAGAGAGGGATGGGGAGAGGGACGGTGTGGGGGAGAGTGGGAGCGATATGGGGAGTGGGACAGAGATTGAGGGGGGAAGTGTGAGAAGAGGAGAGGGCGGTGCGTTTGATGGGGTTGAGAGTGGTGGGGTTGGAGGAGAGGAGGAGGAGGACGAGGAGGGTTCGGATGGAGAGGAGTCAGAAAGGGAAGGAGAAGGGAGGAGGGTAGGAGAGTCCAGGGGCGTGCTTAACCAGCAGCAGGAGCAGCAGCAGCAGCTGCACCAGGAGCAGCAGCTGGCAGCATCAGGTGGGGGCTCAGGCGAGGACTCAGGCACAGAGCGAGGAGAGACAGGTGCGGGTATGAGTGGTATGACTACCAGCTACAGCACGAGCAGCAGCAGCGTCATGATCAGCAGCAGCAGCAGCAGGGTGATCACTACGGAAGGCACGGGAGGAGGGAGTGATTCCCCAGAGAGCAGCAACGGCAGCAGCTTGGTCCGAGGGGCGGCGTGGAGGGAGGAGGCAGTCACGTGGCGCACTGAGGAGGAGGAGGAGGAGGAGGAGGAGGACTCTGATTATGGGTCAGGCTCCGATGGTCTCGTGGGGCTGAACGGGGGAGCGGGAGGAAAAGGGGGCGGTGTGAGGGAGTTTGAAGGTGTGGCGATGGCTCAAGAGCAGTACGAACGGTGGGAGGAGAAGGAGAAGCAGGTGAGGGTTGATGGCTGATTGCGGACGGGCTGGGAGGTATCACAGGCGAGTTGGTATGGGCGAGTTGGTATGGGCGAGTTGGTATGGGCGAGTTGGTATGGGCGAGTTGGTATGGGCGAGTTGGTATGGGCGAGTTGGTATGGGCGAGTTGGTATGGGCGAGTTTACGAGCGTATGCAATGGCCACTCCATCTGCTCCCTCTATTCTCTCTGCTAACTATGGTTTCAAATCACCGCGTTTTCTCCCTTGCCGCCATGCTGCGTTCCCACCCGTGCCACGTGCCATGTGTCATGTATCTCTTGGACAGGTGGAGAGGAGGAGGCAGAGAAGGAAGAGGGAGAGAAGCGAGGCGCAGGCAGAGCTGAGGAGGCAGGCGTTGGGAAAAGATGGGGGAGCGGACTCTGCTTCTCCCCTCTCTCTGCACACTGAACCGCTCAGGCTGAGACTCAGCCGACCAGATGCAGTGTCAGAGAGCGAGAGGGAGTGAGGGAGAGAGGGAGTGAGAGGAAGTGGGGGAGGAGTGAGGCGCAGGCAGAGCTGAGGAGGCAAGCGCTGAGCATAGGGGAAGGAGGGGAGGGGATGTGGCCACACTGCTTTCTCTGCACTCTGAACCGCTCAGGCTGAGACTCAGCCGACCAGATGCTCTGTCAGAGAGCGAGAGGGAGTAGGGAGAGAGGGAGAGGGGGAAAGAGTATGGCAGCAACTGCAGCATCAACGAAAGTATTTCCGGGACACTGAACCGCTCGTCACGTCACCATCTTCACATTTGTTACCCTCTACGACGGAGATTGGAGCATATTTCAACATAGAATGGTATGGTCAATTTGTTTTGCGTGCAGGGCTGAAAGTGGTGATAGTTATTGGAATGGCATGCGGCACTAAAGAATGGCAAATTATCTTGTTGATGTACTTGAGTGGCCACATCGCCAGTCACCCGTTGAGGTACTTGGGTTAGCAAACTTTTCCGAACATTGCTGATGTAGTTATGCGTGAAGTTCATTCGACCATATTCCGTAGCCTTAGCGCGTAAATACGCGCGTGTTATGAGTTGTATGAAAGAAGAGTGCGCAGTATTCAATAACGCGGAAGTGATTACCGTATGGCCCCGGATATAGGCGCCGGCCTATTACAGGCGCCGGCGCTTCTATCTGGAGCATGGCGCTTATGGCCGATCCTCGATTATAGGCGCCCCCCCTGGAAAACCATTACTTATTATAAGCGCCCCCCCTTTTTTGATTTAAATTTCAGTTTAAATTGGTAGCGAATTTCAGTTTTGCAGCGAGTCAAATTTCATTTTCGCTTCGTTTGACTCGCGAAGACCTGACTGGCTGCGCGTCCAGTCAGGATGTGCTGGCATGCCTGCAAAGTGACGCGAATTTGCTTGTGTACAGGAAGCAGAATCGCTTGCGCGCGATTCTGCAATGTGACGCTATATTATTTCGACTCGTTTGAATGGCAGCAATGAAATGTACATTTTGGTACCTTTAAATAATAAATTTGTATTTGTCATTGTATAAGCGCCGGCGCTTATGGCCGTTACTCAATTACAAGCGCCACCCCTAAAAAATTTAAAGTTATTATAAGCACATATGCGCTTATATCCAGGGCCATACGGTACAACTACTGAGCAAACAACGAGGCCTAGGCATAATATAGCAAGGCTAGCTAGGCCGAGGTCGCGGAGTCGCGCGAAGGTCGGGTGTAGGTTTGGGGTTGGGAAACCCGAAGGCGACGCGGAGGACGTTCGGAAGGCGAGGTCATCGGACCGAGCCTGAACTCCGAAAAGTTGGACTTGTACGCGTACGGAGTGCCTCAGTAAGGAATTAGGAAAATTCCTTACACTACCCCCCCCTTTAAGAAAGGTGGTCAACATCGGGCACGCGTCGGCGGGAAAGATAATCCCGGAGTACCGAGTGGCCCTGTAGTGAGTCAGCCGGGACCCACGTGTCATCGTCGCTTGTGCGATCCACCCATCGCAGGAGGAAATCAACGTGTCGTCCAGCTGGTGTCGCACGAAAGCGATGGTTCAAAATCTTCCAGGGCTGGAGTGTCGGGTCTGCGACGGGCCGGACACTTGGCGTGATGTTAGGTCGAGCGACGTCGGATGGCTGCGGAGCCACGTAGTGTCGAAGCAGACTGACGTGGAAAGCATCGTGGATCTTGCAGTCGTCCAGTAGGAGAAGTTTCGCCGTGACCGGGGTCAGCATCCGAATAATGCGGAATGGTCCCACGTAGCGGGGACGCAATTTTGCTGGCTGGGGCAGTCGGAGATTCTTCGTGTCCAGGAGAACCATCTGCCCGTCACGGAAGGGTAAGTTCCGTCGATGTCGGTCGGCGTAGCGGCTGGCGGTAGTATTAGCCTTTCGTATGAATTCCGCTGCCTTATCGCGTGCTTGCTGAAGTTCCGAAACAAACTGCTGCGACCGTGGTACCCGATTTTCAGGAGTCGTGGACGAGGGTACCACCGGATCTATCCCGTAATTAAGGTAGAACGGCGATTGATTGGTCGTTGCAGACGGGGCGTTGTTGTACGCAAATTCGAGCATGGGGAGCGTATCTTCCCACTTGGTGATGTCGGGGCAGTTCGTGCGAATCAACTGCTCCATCGTCTGGTTGGTCCTCTCGGTCTGCCCGTCGGTTTGCGGGTGGTATGACGACGAAAACTGCAGGCGGGTGCCGTACTGTGCCCAGGTCTCCTGCCAGAACTTCGCCGTAAATTTCGAATCCCGATCGCTGATGATCGCCGAAGGTAACCCGTGTAGGCGTACGACGGTCGAGATGAAAAGCTTCGCTGTTTCTTCGGCTGTGATCGTCGTGCGGCATGGTGCGAAATGCGCCATTTTCGTTAAGCGGTCGACGACGACCAGTACCGAGTCATTGCCACTTGCGCCAGCTGGCAGTCCGGTGACAAAATCCATTGTCACTTGTTGCCACGGTCGTTCGGGTGGCTCGAGGGGTTGCAGCAATCCAGCTGGGCGTTGACGTGATGATTTCATTGCCTGGCAGGTCGGGCAGGCGGACACGTAGTGCTGCACGTCCGACGCCATGTCGGGCCAATAATAATTCCGTTGCAGCAACTTCAACGTTTTGTCGACGCCGAAATGCCCGGAGAGGTTGGAGTCGTGTACCTCCTGCGTCAGCAATTCTCGTAAGGGTCGGTAGGAAGGTACCCAAACTCGGTTTGTACCGACTTTTAGGTAATAGCTCCCATGTGCTGTGGTGACCCGTTGGTGTTGGTTGGTCCTGAAAAACCTGTCAGTCCTGTAGCCGTGCTTGAACAATCCTGCCAATAACGGGTTGGAGTGGGCGATTAGGACTGCTGCGGTTTGCATTGATGGGCGGGTCAGGGCGTCGGCGATGTTGTTGGCGCCCTTTTTGTACGTGATGGTGTAGCTGAAGTTGGACTCGAGGTAGTCGAGCCATCGAATTTGTCGCGGGTTGAGCTGTGGTAGGCTGCGCATGTACTGTAATGACTTGTGGTCGGTTCGGATGGTGACGTCCGCTCCCGTGAGGTAACAGCGCCAGGTACGAAATGCATGCACGATGGCGAGCATTTCTTTGTCGTGAACCTGATAGTTGCGCTCGGGCGGCTGCATTTTTCTTGACTCGTACGCGATGGGTTGCAGCCCGTTGCCGAAATCCTGTAGTAGTACAGCGCCGACGGCGAAATCGCTGGCGTCCGTCACGACTTCGAACGGTCGAGATGGATCTGCCAGGCGAAGCACCGGGGGTGAACTCAAAATTTTCTTTAACTCGTCGAAGGCCAGCTGTTCTCCCCCCCCCCACAAAAATTGCACGCCCTATGCAGAAGATCGGTTAACGGCCTGGTCACCCCCGCCATATTCGGTACAAAACGGCGGACGTAGTTAACGAAGCCGAGGAAACTCTGCAACTCCGTGATATTCGTGGGCGGCTTCCACTCCGAAATTGCTTTGACTTTGCGAGGGTCAATTTTAATGCCCTCCCCTGAAACCACGTGCCACAGAAACTCCAGCTCCGACTGTAGGAACTCGCACTTAGAGCCCTTGGTAATCAGCCGGTTCTGCTGCAAGCGCCGGAACACCTCCTCTAAGTCCTGTAAATGCTGCTCCCGAGTCTTGCTGTACACCAGGATGTCGTCCAGGTAAACAATAACCTTCTTGTCCAGCATGTCCCGAAACACCCCATTCATGGTGAGCTGGAAGGTCGAGGGTGCATTCGTCAACCCGAACGGCATCACAGTGTGTCAGAGGTCCACTGGTGATCCCCGATTGATCCTAGGGAAGGGTTACAGGCATGTTGGCCTGGGGGGTTATGGGCGCACTGACCCGCTACTTAACAAAGCCCTTTTATCCCAGTGGTCTAGTGGTTGGGATTCTGACATGGTATCAGAGCGAAGGTCTCGGGTTCGAATCCCAGTGTGTGCACTTCGGGCATCCCAGTGCGGGGGGGTGTCAGAGGTCCACTGGTGATCCCCGATTGATCCTAGGGAAGGGTTACAGGCATGTTGGCCTGGGGGGTTATGGGCGCACTGACCCGCTACTTAACAAAGCCCTTTTATCCCAGTGGTCTAGTGGTTGGGATTCTGACACAGTGTACTCGTAACTGCCATAGCGGGTGCGAAATGCAGTCTTCGGGCAGTCGTCGGCGAACACGCGAATTTGGTGGTAGCCACCTCGCAAATCGATTTTCGAGAAGAAGCGAGCCCCGCGAAGCTGGTCCAGCAGGTCGTCCGCTCGTGGGATCGGGTAACGCGACTTGATTGTGACCCGATTCAACGCTCGATAGTCGATGCACATGCGCAGGCCTTTGTCCTTCTTCGGTGTGAACAGTATCGGGGCGGCGTAAGGTGACGTGCTCGGCCGGATAAAACCCTTCGAAAGCAGATAATCCAGCTGTTTCCGCAACTCGTCGAGCTCCGGTTGGCTGAGCCGCCACTGTGACCGAACAGTTGGTTTTGCGCCTGGCTCCAGCTCGATCCTGTGATCTTCTGGTCGCTGAGGTGGCAGCCCGTCAGGCAGGTCATCCGCGAAAATTTCGGGATACCTCCGAATTATGCTTGCCACGTCGTCTGGTACAGCAGCGCAGAGCGTGTCAATGTCGGCGATTTTCTCGGACGCGACCACATCGTACAGCTGTACGGCGTAGCCTTGCGCTCCCCGTTTGATCGCCCTTTTCATCGTGATGGCGTTGACACGTGTTGTCATCGGCTCCGGCTCCGCCCATTTCGGAAGTGTCACGCGCCCCTTATTGCACAGCACCGTGATCGCCCCCGTCGTCCAGTCGATCGTCGGATTAAATCGCTGCAACCAATCTCGTCCCAGTAGCACATCGCAACCGTCCAGTGTTGTCGCCAGCATTCGCATTGAAAACCCGAAATCGTCGCCACACTTCATCCGAATTTGTCGGACCTCGTCCTTTATCGCCAGCGGTGTCCCGTCCACCAGTCGCGCATCAATCTCGGGCAGACACCTGTCCAGCTTGACCCCAATTTTTTTGGCCGTTGCCAGGTTGACGAGACTGTGGCTCGCCCCACCGTCAACGAAAAGTTTTATTTTTTGTCCGTTAACCCTCCCCACGACCAGCACAGGGTGATCCACGTGTTCATCCACCTTATTCGTCCGGTTGCGGTCGATAGCCCGTATCGGTACCACTACTCGGTGTGGATGTTGATTGCCGGGCGACGGGGTCTCGTCAATAGGTGGCCCGGCTGCTACTGACTCGTCTCTTTTCCCGACCCCTCTCCGTCGCTCCTGTTTCCCTGTTTCAGCTTCGGGCAGTCCTTCCTCCAGTGGCCCGGTTGGTTGCAGTTGAAGCACGTGTTAGGTCCACGTCTCGGTGCATCCACCCCGTTGATTGTGGGCTGGCGCGGCGGTCCACGAAATTGAGTGCCCTCCCGGGAACTCATTCTCGCCCATTGCATCAGCGCATCCGTTGATTCAGCCACCTGGACGGCATCGAGGAAATCGCGTGGTCTTGCCCGTCGCACCTCGTACTGTACTTCGTACTTGAGGCCTGCGACGTATCGGTCGAGTCGCTCCGCATCACTCATGTCGTCCACCTGGTCAGCCAAATTGCAGAATGTTGCCGTGTAATCTTGGACCGACGCCACCTGCTTCCAGGTGCGCAGCTTCATGCGAGCAGAATCCGAGGCGGATACATGCTCGAATCTGTTTAGCAGCGCGGCGCCCCACTCCGTCCATGTGCGTATCGTGGCCACTCCGAAGATTGAAGTTGCCTGTTGCGTGACAGTTGTCCAGGTTCCGTCGTTCGCACGTGTCATTCCTGCCGGAGTCCCCTCTGTCTGAAGAGTCCGCTTCCACCACTCTAATGCCGGTCCTCGTAACAGTGACACTGCAAAATTAATGCGAGTAGCATCGTCAGCAATTTGCGCAGCATTGAAAAACACCTCCACACCGAACAACCATGCCGACACAGTGACGGTTTTGTCGCTGGGGTTGAACGGGGGCGGGTTTGTCGGCTTTATTTTAACAGTTGTTGAGACTGTTGCTGCTGCATGCATCGGGGGCGCCACCGAGGCCATCACCGGGTTCGTCGCTGGCGCCTGTCGTGGCGTTGTCTGCGACTGTTGCCCCGATGCCACTTGTGCTTGTTGCTGTGGCTGTGGCCGTTGTTCTTGCGTCCCTCGTGCTTGTTGCTGGCGTGCCGCCCACTCTTCTGCAGCGTCCAGTGAGCCCTGTAGCTCACTAAGGACGTCGTCGTTGGGTGTGGAGCTGCTACTTGCTTCATCCACGGCGGGCGACTCCTGACGCGCTTCACCCCGCGTCTGGCGTAGCTCGGCGTTTTCCACCTTCAGGAGCTCCATCTCTGCAGACATGGTCTGCAAGTTGGCTTGCATCGCCCGAAACTGTTGCATGAACTCGTTGAACTCCGCCTGTTCCATGCTTCGCAGGCTTCTCCTAACGGGCAGCGGGTTAACAACGATTTTTATGGTTTTGATGAAGGCGCAAACGCTATTAGTCGGAGCGAGATAATCGTATCTATCTCTCAGCCGACCGCTTTGCAGCCCACCAAACCTATCGCACCCCTGCACTAAAACTACCTCGGAAAGTGGAGGGTAACCTAGGAAAGTAGCTCTGATACCAAGTGTTATGAGTTGTATGAAAGAAGAGTGCGCACTATTCAATAACGCGGAAGTGATTACAACTACTGAGCAAACAACGAGGCCTAGGCATAATATAGCAAGGCTAGCTAGGCCGAGGTCGCGGAGTCGCGCGAAGGTCGGGTGTAGGTTTGGGGTTGGGAAACCCGAAGGCGACGCGGAGGACGTTCGGAAGGCGAGGTCATCGGACCGAGCCTGAACTCCGAAAAGTTGGACTTGTACGCGTACGGAGTGCCTCAGTAAGGAATTAGGAAAATTCCTTACAGCGCGGAAGTCTCAAATGTCGCACTCGGGTAACTCGAATGTAGCTTTCAACACGGAAACTGATCTGTCTACTTTCAGTCTCTAATTTAGTCTGGTTAACTCCTTCCTTCCGCGCCGCGTCTACCCCCATGCGACCGCACCGCCCGCTCGCGTCTCTCTTCTGCGTCCTCGCATCGCCCGCGATTGCCGCGTGCACATCCCCACTTGCGGGTCCACTCCGATTGGTCAGTGCAGTTGGAACGGATTCCGGGACACGTGGCGCTGCCACAGCATGTCAGGTGGCGCTCGACGCGACTCGCGGATCGGAGAGAACGGTTAGTAGCGCAACTGCCGCTGAATGCGCGACCGATGGCGCTGCCGCGGCGAGAAGGGCTGCCAGCGGGGCGTCTTATAGCGAACCGTCTTGTATCGAAGCGTCTCGAGAGCCCACATCTCACGGTCGGCGCAGGGCGGCGGGAAAGGCGCGCGGATGGACGGTGGCGGTGGAGGGTAACATCGGCGTGGGGAAATCAACGGTCCTGAGTGCTCTGGGGGAGCGATTGAACAGGTGGGAAGGGTCGCCCTCTTACCGCTTACCCACCACCCTCCCTCCCTCACCGCACCCCTCCCCTCTCGCAATTCAGTATCCCAACTTCATATTTCAGGTCTCTCCCGATCTTCTCCCCTCTAATCCCCATCCCCAACCGCACCCCACTTTCCTCCTCCCAAACCCTCCCCTCCCTCCCCTCGCCCTCCCCCACCTCTCCCCCCCCCTCCCCCCCCTCTCCTCCTCCACCTCCCAACCTCCCCCTCACTCACCCTGCAGTGACGTGGCATTGCGGAGAGCTGTCACTGGCGGTGGTGCTGACGTGGCGCTTCAGCCCGAGCCGCTGCGTGAGTGGCGCAACGTGCGGGGCAGCGGGGAAAATGCGCTGGACGCGTTTTATAAAGACCCCAGGAGGTGGGAGAGGGGGCAGTTTGGGGGAGATTGGGGAGGGGTGAGTGGGGAGGGGTGAGTGGGGAGCAGTGAGTGGGGAGCGGTGAGTGGGGAGGGATGAGTGGGGAGCGGTGAGTGGGGAGCAGTGAGTGGGGAGCGGTGAGGGGGGAGCGGTGAGTGGGGAGGGGTGAGTGGGGAGGGGTGAGTGGGGAGGGGTGAGTGGGGAGCGGTGAGTGGGGAGCGGTGAGTGGGGAGCGGTGAGTGGGGAGCGGTGAGTGGGGAGGGATGAGTGGGGAGGGGTGAGTGGGGAGCAGTGAGTGGGGAGCGGTGAGTGGGGAGGGATGAGTGGGGAGCGGTGAGTGGGGAGGGGTGAGTGGGGAGCGGTGAGTGGGGAGCGGTGAGTGGGGAGCGGTGAGTGGGGAGCGGTGAGTGGGGAGGGGTGAGTGGGGAGCGGTGAGTGGGGAGCAGTGAGTGGGGAGTGGTGAGGGGGGAGCGGTGAGTGGGGAGGGGTGAGGGGGGAGCGGTGAGTGGGGAGGGGTGAGTGGCGCAACGTGTGGGGCAAACGCGCTGGGGGCGTTCTATAAAGACCCCAAGAGGTGGGGGCGGGGAGAAAGGGAGGAGGGGAAGAGTACTGCATGTTTCAGGGTTGCTTAGAGCTTTCAGAGGCTTTTCTTCATGTCCTGCATCTCCCAGTACCGTCCCATACTACCATCACCACCCCTCTGCCTTCTCCCTCCCCTTCCTCTGGCCTTTCCCCCCTCCTCCCCTTCCCTCCCCAGGTTAGCCTACACCTTTCAGAACCTGGTGTTTATCTCCCGTGCGACACAATACCTCCAATCCCACCGCCACCGCCACCGCCACCGCCACCACCCTTTCCGATTCTCTCCCTTCTTTTTGACCCCCTTCCCACTCCCTCTCTCCCTTCCCCTTCCCTTTCCCCCCCCTATCAAACCTTTCGTTAGGTTCGCCTACACCTTCCAGAGCCTGGTCTTCATCTCCCGGGCCTCTCAATACCGCCAAGCCAAGCACACCGTCACCACCTGTCCTGTCTCCCTCTCTCTCCCTTCTCTCCCCTCTTCTTTCTCCAACCAGGTTCGCCTACACCTTCCATCAAGAGCCCGGTGTTCATCTCCCGGGCCTCTCCATACCGCCAAGCCAAGCACACCGCCACCACCCCTCTGCCCTCCGCCTCTGCGAGCAATCCCTTTTCTTACTCCCTCTCACCCTTTCGTTTCCCCCTCCTCTCAGGTTCGCCTACACCTTTCAGAGTCTGGCCTTCATCTCCCGTGCGACACAACGCCTCTAAGCGCACCAGCACAACCCCTCCTGTCTCTCTCTTTCCCCCTTCTCTCCCCACTTCCCTCACCCCCCTCCCAGGTTCGCCTACACATTTCAGAGCCTCGTTTTCATCTCCCGTGCTTCTCAGTACCGCCACGGCTTGCAGCAACACCCCTCTGCTCTGCGCCTCTGCGAGCGATCCCTCTTCTGCGATCGCCTTGTGTTTGCGCCAGCAGCAGTGGTAGGAGGGCTGTTCACGCCGTTAGAGGAGGCACTCTATGACTCGTGGGTCGATGCCGTGCTGCCCATGCTGCCAGCTGTGGTGAGTCCCATTTCTCCTCTCTTCTCTGACCGCCTTGTGTTTGCACCGGCACCAGCAGCAGTGGCAGGGGGGCTCTTCACGCCGTTAGAGGAGGCACTCTATGACTCGTGGGTCGATGCCGTGCTGCCCATGCTCCCAGGGGTGGTGAGTTACCATGCTATCCCTTTTGCAGATCTTGGTGTTTGCGCCAGCTGCAGCGTGGGGGCTGTTCACGCCGCTAGAGGAAGCACTCTATGACTCGTGGGTGGATGCTGTGTTGCCCATGCTACCTGGAGTGGTGAGTTACCTGGTTACCAGGTCCTGTTCTCACCAGAGGGGGGGGCTGTTCACGCCACTAGAGGAAGCACTCTAAAACTCGTGGGTCGATGCCGTGCTGCCCATGCTGCCTGCTGTGGTGAGTACATTGCTTGAGTAACTTGCATTGCAATGGGGTTCTCTTGCTCCCCCTTCTGCGACCGTCTCGTGTTTGCACTGGCAGCAGTAGCAGGAGGGCTGTTCACTCGCATGGAGGAGGGGTTATATGACTCGTGGGTCGATGCCGTGCTGCCCATGCTGTGCCGAGCCGGGAGCAACGATGTGCCATCCCCACTGTTTCTCTGCCCCTGTCTGTGTTATCATGCTGCCACCGACTCTCTGCACATCAGGTATCCGATGCTTTCATCTACCTGAGGGCAGACCCCTCTGTGTGCCTGCGGTAATGGTGTGCCCTTGATGCTGTGATGCCACTGACTCACTCTCTCCCCCCTCTCCTACCACCTCTCTCATCCCATCAGGTATCCGATGCTTTCATCTACCTGAGAGCCGACCCCTCTGTGTGCCTGCAACGCCAGACTCCCCTTGATTCTGTGTTGCCACTGACTCTCTCTCTTTCCCCCGTCTTCCACACCCCTTCCCCCCTCATCCTCTCTCATCCCATCAGGTACCCGATGCCTTCATCTACCTGAGAGCCGACCCCTCTGTGTGCCTGCGGTAATGGTGTTCCCTTGATGCTGTGATGCCACTGACTCACTCTCTCCCCCCTCTCCTACCACCTCTCTCATCCCATCGGTATCCGATGCTTTCATCTACCTGAGAGCCGACCCCTCTGTGTGCCTGGAACGCCAGACTCCCCTTGATACTGTGTTGCCACTGACTCTCTCTCTTTCCCCCGTCTTCCACACCCCTTCCCCCCTCATCCTCTCTCATCCCATCAGGTACCCGATGCCTTCATCTACCTGATAGCCGACCCCTCTGTGTGCCTGCGGTAATGGTGTTCCCTTGATGCTGTGATGCCACTGACTCACTCTCTCCCCCCTCTCCTACCACCTCTCTCATCCCATCAGGTACCCGATGCCTTCATCTACCTGAGAGCAGACCCCTCTGTGTGCCTGCAACGCCTGAAGCAACGGTGTCCTCTCTCCGCCCCCCCCCATCAGGTACCCGATGCCTTCATCTACCTAAGGGCCGACCCCTCTGTCTGCCTACAGCGCCTGAAGCAACGGTGTGTTCTTCCCGATGCCCCCACTACTCCCCCTCCTCCTCCCATCAGGTACCCGATGCATTCATATACTTGAGAGCCGAACCCTCTGTCTGCCTGCAACGCCTGCAGCAACGGTGTTCTCTCCACCCCCCACCTCTGCCTCTATGTGTACAGCTGTGCTGCCACTGACACTCTCAACCCCTTTCCACTCCCCCATCTTCCCTCCCTCCTCCTCCTCCCATCAGGTACCCGATGCATTCATATACTTGAGAGCCGAACCCTCTGTCTGCCTGCAACGCCTGCAGAAACGGTGTGCTCTCTACCCCCCACCTCTGCAATGCCTCCCTGCTAAGACTCTCCCTCCTTCCCTCACAGTCTCTGTGCCTGTCTGTCTGCCTCTGTCTCTGTCTCTGTCTCTGTCTCTGTCTCTGTCTCTGTCTCTGCCTCTGCCTCTGTCTCTGCCTCTGCCTCTGCCTCTGTCTCTGTCTCTGCCTCTGCCTCTGCCTCTGCCTCTGCCTCTGCCTCTGTCTCTGCCTCTGCCTCTGCCTCTGCCTCTGCCTCTGCCTCTGCCTCTGCCTCTGCCTCTGCCTCTGCCTCTGTCTCTGCCTCTGCCTCTGCCTCTGCCTCTGCCTCTGCCTCTGCCTCTGCCTCTGCCTCTGCCTCTGCCTCTGTCTCTGCCTCTGCCTCTGCCTCTGCCTCTGTCTCTGTCTCTGTCTCTGCCTCTGCCTCTGCCTCTGTCTCTGTCTCTGTCTCTGTCTCTGCCTCTGCCTCTGGCTCTGCCTCTGCCTCTGCCTCTGCCTCTGCCTCTGCCTCTGCCTCTGCCTCTGTCTCTGTCTCTGTCTCTGTCTCTGTCTCTGTCTCTGTCTCTGTCTCTGCCTCTGCCTCTGCCTCTGCCTCTGCCTCTGCCTCTGCCTCTGCCTCTGCCTCTGCCTCTGCCTCTGCCTCTGCCTCTGCCTCTGCCTCTGGCTCTGGCTCTGTCCCTGCCTCTGCCTCTGCCTCTGCCTCTGCCTCTGCCTCTGCCTCTGCCTCTGCCTCTGTCTCTGTCTCTGTCTCTGTCTCTGTCTCTGTCTCTGCCTCTGCCTCTGCCTCTGTCGCTGTCTCTGTCTCGGTCACTCTGTTGCTCAAAGTAAGATTTTGAGTCGACTCAAAAGCAAACTCCTTCCCTCACAGTCACTGCGTCTGTCTGTCTGCCTCTGCCTCTGCCTCTGCCTCTGTCACTCTGTTGCTCAAAGTTCCCTCTCCATGACCATCCACCCACTCACCCACACGCATCTCCTATTCGTGTATCACACTTTCCTCCTTTCAACCGTTCTTATCCCTCTGACCGCCCTTTTCACTTCTTGCCCCGCAGCTCTCGCTCTGAAGAGACCACGGTTGACTTGCCGTACCTGCACGAGCAGTGTCTTGAGTTGACTCAAAACACACCCTTCTCATGCCTCTTGCCGCCCACGTCACTTCTTGCCCCGCAGCTCTCGCGCAGAAGAGACCTCGGTTGACTTGCCGTACCTGAAGCGTTTGCACAAGCTGTGTCTTGAGTCGACTCTGAGCACACCGTTCTCATCCCTCTCCCTGGCCACGTCACTTCTCGCCCCACAGCTCTCGCTCCGAAGAGACTGCTGTTGACTTGCCACACCTGCAGCACCTGCACGAGCTGTATTGCTTTTGAGTCGACTCAAAGCACTACCCGTCTCATCCCTCTCCCCGCCTACCTCTCCCCACGCAGCTCTCGCTCAGAAGAGGCCTCCGTTGACTTGCCATACCTACACCACCTGCACGAGCTGTATTGCTTTTGAGGCGCCTCAAAAGCACTTCTTTATCCCTCTAACCCGCACCTCACCCGCACAGATCTCGCTCAGAAGAGGCCTCCGTTGACTTGCCATACCTGCGATTTTGAGACATCTCACAACTTGTTCTCATTCCTCTCCCCGCCCACGCAGATCTCGTTCCGAGGAGACCTCCGTTGACTTGCCGTACCTGCAGCGCCTGCACGAGCTGTATCCCTTTTAAGGCGCCTCAGAAGTCGTTCCTTATCCCTCTAACCCCACACATCCCCTGCACAGATCTCGCTCAGAAGAGACCTCCGTTGACTTGCCGTACCTGCAGCGCCTGCACGAGTTGTATTCCTTTTGAGGCGCCTCAAAAGTCGTTCTTTATCCCTCTAACCCCACACATCCCCTGCACAGATCTCGCTCAGAAGAGACTTCTGTTGACTTGCCGTACCTGCAACGCTTGCACGAGCTGTACGACCGCTGGTTCCTGGAAGGTTCTCACAGGGTAGATCCTGAACACACGGCAGGTGAGTAGGATGGTTGGCATGGTGCTGCGTGCACATTTCCCAGATTTGATCCAGATTTTCGCATACTCTTTTCATGCTCGCCGCTTGCTCCCTGCAGCCCCTTCCTTCAGTGCCACTTTGGACGGAGCCTTGACTCACAGTGCACTCGATGGTGTGCCGTTGCTGGTGGTGAATTGTAACCAGCACAGGCAGCAGCGCAGTGGTGGTGATTTTGTGGGGCCAGACAGTGGCACTGGTGAAGGAGAGGAAAGGTTGGAGAAAGGGGCTGTCATGGGTTCAGAGGTAGCAGAGGTGTTGCCAGGAGCAAAGGTTGGGTTTGGAGGGAGTGATTTGAACACATTGCTGGATGAAATTTTGCCGTTTTTGCAACGATTGTGTGCACGAACGCATGTCTGAGTGAATAGTTTTGTTTAATTGTACGTGTTAATTGTGCCATTGATTTGAGAGTTTGTCCATCCACATTTGAACCAAACAGTCTGAGAAGATATCATGCATATTCTCCTGGTGTTGGGTGAGGAAGGGAGCCAACAAGACCCACAACTGTTCCTAGATTTACCCTAAAGCACTTGGTGCTCAAATTAGAACGTTACATCCATGTCTTCGCGAAGTGCTGGCTTCGCGAAAATCCGCGTCCGCCTGTTGGCCATCCCCGTACCCGACAGGCACCACCCCTCTGGCGACAAGTGGTCTGCTGGTGCTGAGTGCTGACTGGTCGGTTCGGTTCGGTATTATCGAGGCATCCCTCCCTTGCTCCTTTCCCCTCTTTCCCCCTCCCAAGCCCAACTCCTGTGCTCCCTTTTCATTTGCCTCCCCTCGCCTCGTCGCCGCATCCACGTTTCTCGACTCTCGAGATTGCCGTTACTTCTCACCAGCAAACCAACCTCCTCCATTGCTGTCCCTTTCTTTCTCTCTTCTCTTCCCTCTTCTTTCTCTACTCTTTTCTCACTGCTCCTTTCTCGTCTTGATTTTATTCAACAGAAACGCATCACCAAGATTCTTTCTGGTTTTCCTTTCTCCTGCACTGCACTAAATGTGCTAGGTTTACCCTTTCTAGGGTAGGCTTTCTGGAAGCTTCTCTATCGGCATTTCTCCCCATTGGGGGTCCGAGTGCGATAAGAGCGTCCCTCAAGAGCTCGTAATAAGTTTCCCATGTGCAAGCACCCACTTGCGCCGTTCCCCATAGTTTATGGTCGTTCGGCCGGTTACTTTCAGCCGGCTGCTTCGACTGGTTACTTTTAGCCGGCTAAATCGACCCCAGCCGGTTAGTTCCCAATGGCGTTCCGGCAAGGCGGCGGCGAGTCACGGGGGGGTCCGGGTCGGCCGGACGGCCCGCCGCGAATAAAGGACGGCAGCTGGATATCTGCCGACGCTCGGAATCGACCGACTGGCTGGGCATCGCAGGTCCGTCGGTCTTCGCATTGACAGCCCTTATAAGAGCGTCCATAGCCTTAACGTTTTAGAAACCTGGTTCGACCGCTTACGGTACTGATGTGTTCAAACGCTCGACCATATTACTGTGCAGTTTTCTATTTTTGAGACGAGTCAACGTTAGACCACATCGCTGTATGATTTTTCTTGCTAGTTTCGCTTTTCGGGTCTCATGGCCGCGCATGTTCCGCCTTCGAGCCGTTCCTTGTCGTGCTTCTGAGACGTCTCAAAACTCGCTTCACGGCCTCGAACATTCCGTCTATTCAACCGTCCCACTGTGAACTCAATGCGGTTAAGCTGCGGACATTGAATGCGGTTAAGCTGCGGACATTCCGTCTACGTCCAATGTTGAAACCTATGCGACTAAGGATGTGCAGCATGAGGATGTTTGTGTAAGGAAAATTGATCCAGAGACAGCAAAAGCGAGATTTGTTTTGTCAACGTCGTCGTCCTACCATTTTCTAACGAGCTCGTTTCGTCGCACCAACTCGAGGTGACTATTGAGTCGACTCAAAAACATTTTCTTCCATCTCCTGGCGTTTTCCTCCCCTCCTCCCAAACACTACTTGAGCTTCAGACTCGGCGAGCGAAGCGCATGAAGCTACACATTTGGAAGAACGCGCCTCCATTCAATTTGCCCTCGCGTTTCCTCCCCCTCCGCCTGCCCTTTTCCCCGACCTCCGCTTCCCCCATGCCTCCCGCCTCCCCCCTGCGTCAGACTTGGCGCGCGAAGCGCTTGAACCGCAATGTGGGAAAGCCGGGCATACTGTGTTCAAGATTTTGGATTCTCAAAACTCCCCTTACATTCCGTTCCGGCTTCCCCCCTTTCCTCTCCAACTTCCTACAACCCCCGCCTCGTCCCCATCTCCCCCCCTCCCCTCTCTCCGCCTCCCCCTTGCGCCAGATGGGAAGCGTGAAGCGCTTGAAGCCGCGCATGTGGAAGAGCGCGCCTCTTTCTCAAGTGCAGCAAATTCCCCCCCACCCCGTCCTCCCTTCCCCCTATGCCAGATGGGGCGCGCGAAGCGGCTGAAGCCGCGCATGTGGAAGAGCGCGTTCGACGCGGAGGGGCGTCTGGTGCGCATGCCACAAGTGCTTAAAGCAATTCTCGAAGGGGTGAGTTTAAGGTCGACTCAAGCTTTTTTCGCCACAAGTGCTTAAGGCAAATCTTGAAGGGGTGCGTTTCTACTATACTCAACAATCACCAAGGGCGTCTGATGCGCATGCCGCAAGTGCTCAGAACAATTTTTTAAAAGGTACTACAGAGTCGAGTCCAGCATTTTTTGCTTCAATAATACTCCTCAAATCACCAGCCGAGGCGATTCTTATGGGGTAAGACGGCCTCCAGCCTTGTAACGCAGATGCACTGCCTATTGACAATATCCTTCTCCCCTTTGCGCTCCTGACGCCCCACACTCCGCGTATGCTGTTCCTCAGGCCTCGGCCCACCTACTGTTCTCTTGGGTCATGTGACTCTAACCTCCTCTACCCTGTCATCTCCTCTTCTCTCCCGTCCTCTCCTCGTGACTTTTGAGTCGACTCTTTTGAGTCGAGGTGACTTTTGAGTCGACTCAAAAGTCACCTACTGTTCTCTTGGGTCATGTGACCCTAACCTCCTCTACCCTGTCATCTCCTCTTCTCTCCCGTCCTCTCCTCTCCTTCACTTCGTGTCCCCTTCGCGCTCTTGTCCCGTTCGCAGGGAGTGGACAAGTCGATACGGGGCGAGGTGTGGGAGTTCCTGCTCGGCTGCTTTTCCCTCGAGTCCACTGCAGAGGAAAGGAACTACGTGCGCGAAGCCAGGAGGTTCGTACTGACACCACACAAGTGCTTGACTTTAAGAGGAGTGTCTGGGAGGGAAGGTTAGGGGCCACCAGAGGTGTGGGAGTTCCTGCTCGGCTGCTTCTCCCTCGAGTCCACTGCGGAGGAGAGGAACTACGTGCGCGAGGCCAGGAGGTTCGTTCTATAGGCTCCAGGGATAAGGGAACGGCGAAAGGAAAGGCTAGGGGAATGGCCAGGCCCAGGGGGATGGTTATGGGGAGCCTTAGGGAAGGCGTGTTTTGACTAAGTGACTTTTGAGGCGACTCAAAAGTCTGACTTTTGAGTCGACTTTAAAGGAAAGGCTAGGGAAATGGCCAAGGGGATGGTTACGGGGAGCCTTAGGGAAGGCGTATTTTGTTGCATCGCAAAATAGCTTGGGGAGGGAGGAGGTGAGGGAGATAGAGGAGGTAATTGCGCTTCTTTGCAGGGAGCGCCACTGCAGCTGTTGCTGCAGTGCCAACTGGCAACAGATGCACAGCAACGTGGGGTTTGGCCGCTAACCACTTGTCTGTCTTCCCTTTCTCCCCTCTCGCACCCCCTCCCACTACCCCTTTGCTCCCCCACCCCCCCTCTCGTGCTCCCTTGCAGGGAGCGTTACCAGCAGCTGTTGCTGCAGTGCCATCAGATGCACAGCAACGTGGGATCGGGTCACCCTGCCTGTCTTTCCTTTCTCCCCTCACACCCTCTTCCCCCTCTCCCTCGCACCCCCTTTCCTGCCCTAACGCCCCGAACCAACTCCTCCCCCCCTACTCCCCCCCTTTTCTCCCCCTCCCCCTCCCGTCCCCTCGATCCCCCTTGCAGAGAGCGTTACCAGCAGCTGCTGCTGCAGTGCCAGCAGATGCACAGCAACGTGGGCTCGGGTCACCTGGCCTTTGCTGTGGGAACGCGTATCATGGACGTGCGCATTATCCACCCCGGAAACACCCCGGGCAACTCAGGAACTACCCCCGGAAGCAGCACCGCCAACATCCCGTCCCCAGCCACCACGTCTCCTAGCGGGGAAGCAGGGGGGAGCGGGGGGGGAGGAAGAGCGGGGGGCGGGAGCAGCAGCAGGAGCAACACTCCCCCCGATCGAAGCGTGCTAGGGGGGGCAGGGGCTAGAAGCTCAGCCAGCGGGGGAAGCAGCGACCTGCGATTCCCGCCTTCTAGACAGTATTCTGAACGGGGCTCTGCTGGGAGTTCTACGCAGCTTAGACTGGATCAGCTTATAGAGGAGGGTGGGCCTAGACTGAGCTCCTTCTCCTCATTCTCTTTCAGTTGCGATGTTGATGTGTTCGATTTGGATGACCCTAGGGGGCTGTTTGTGCGGCCGGGAGGGGAGGAGGAGGACGAGGAGGATTTGGAGGAGGAGTGGGAGGGTGAGGGGCAGGAGGGGATGAGGGATACGGACGAGGAGGAAGAGGAGGAGGAGGGTGGGGAAGGGGGAGGGGAGGGGGGGAGAGAAGGGGAGAAGGGGAGGCAGGGTGGCGGAGGGGGGGTTGGGGGAGAGAAGGGGGAGAGAGGGGGGAAAGAGGGTGCGGAGGGGGAGAAAGGGGGCGGTGGTGGCGCAAAGGATTGTCCCAGGGAAAAGAGGGCGGGGAAAGAGGAGGTGGGAGGGGGAAAAGGGGAAGGGGCGGGCGGGAGGGAGGCGAGAGAGAGAAAGAAGGGGGAGATGCGGCGGAGGAGTGAGGACGGGGATAGGAAGCCGGGGGGGAGTGCTGCTGATTCGAGTAGACGGGGGAAAGGCGGAGGGGGAGGGGGACAAGATGGGGGGCAGGGGGGCGGGCAAGCGGGACCAGGGGAGGGGATGGAGGAGATGAGGGCAAAGTGGGCGCGGGAGAGGCAAAGGCGGGTGGATAATCTGGATAAGCTCCGCGCACAGGACGCCTTGCCAGGGGGAGGGGGCGCAGGGGGAGGCGCAGGAGGGGGGGGCGCAGGAGGCGCAGGGGTAGGGGGGCCAGGCGGTTCGAGCAGTGGGGTTGCTGGTGTGGGGACTGGGACGCGCGCAATGGGGAAAGCTGAGGCTGGCGCGTCAGGCATTGCTGCTAGCGCGGGAGAAGGGCCTGGGGGAGAGGATGCGGATGGGGCAGCAGCAGGGGGACTAGCAGCAGCGGCTGTAGCAGCCGCAGCAGCAGCAGCAGAGGGGGGGAAAGGAGCAGGGGCAGGGGGGGGAGCAAGGGCAGGGGCGCATGGGGAAGAGGATGCGCCTACAGGGGCACAAGGCGCGCGTTCAGGGGCAGGGGGGCAGGAAACGGGGAGGAGGCCGGGGGAAGGGGGGGAGAGGGGGGAGGATCCGAGTGGGGAGGGCGCGCGGAACAGGAGGAGGGCGGAAAATCGTAGCTTTTCTCGTTCAATGAGCGCCCAGCCTGAGAGGATAGGGCGGAGGGAGAGACGGGAGGCGGAGGGAGAGGAGAGCGGTCAGTCAGGCAGGGGCTGGTTCGGGGATGGGATGATGGAGGGGAGTAGAGAGAGCGAGGGTGGGGAAGAAGGGGGGGAGGGCAGTGGGATGGAGGAAGGGGGGGAGCACGAGGGGGGGGAGAAGCGCAAGCAGCAGAAAGTGCGGTGGACTAGGCTTCTGCAGGGAGTGGTGAAGGATATAAAGAAGAAGGAAAGCAAACTGCCCACCTCGAGTTCAATTCTGGACAGTCCCTCCGGGCCTTCTGCTTCCTCAGGCTCATCCGGTGGTGCTTTCAGTGCTTCTGGGTTTTCCACCTCGTCCTCCCACCCGTCTGCAGGTACCGCTCTGCACCACAGGGCACCGGTTCAGGACCACTACAGGTCGTCTGAATCCCAGAAGCAACAGTATTCAGATGTGCCTTTAGCAAAGAGTTTTAGTAGTAGCCTGCCGGCTGTGGGTGGGGAGGGGGATGTGGGTTCGCCTATGCATGCCGCATCTGGTGCCGACAGGTGGCACGCTGTGAGTGGCGGAGTGGGTGGTGGAGGCGGGGGGATGGGGCAGGGAGGGGAAGGGGGAGAGGATGAGGGGGTGGAGGAGGGGGCAGGGGAGGGCGGGTGGGAGGGCCGGGAGGGTGGGGCGGGAGGGGCGACGGATGGGGGAGCGGGGGGGAGGAGGCTGGGGAAGGAGGGGCGGCCGCCAGCGGGGGAGTTGGGGGGAGTGGGGGCGGCGCAGGGGGCGCAAAAGGGAGGGGGAGAAGGGGGAGCGGGCGCAGCGTGGGTGAGGGGGATGAAGAAGGCGCATAAGAAGCTGATAGGATACCTTGGCGCATCAGACAGCTTCGGGGGGAGGGAAGGGGGTGGGGCGGGGGGAGGAGTGGGCGTGGGGACAGGAGGAGGGGGACAGGGAGACGGAGGAGGAGGGGGAGTGCTGGGCGGGGGAAAGGTTGCGGGGAAGCTAGGGGGAGAGGGGCATGAAGGGGGAGCGATGGGCGGCGGAGGGGAAGGAGAGGGGGTGGGCGGAGGAGGGGGAGGAGCAGGGGGAGGGAGGGCGGGCGCAAGGAGACGGCTGCGGAAGGTGCTGAGTGCGGATTGGGGGAGCACGTCATTGGACGAGCTGCTTGGCGGCAAGGGCTTGGCTCCTAGCGCGAGCACCAACCTTTCGTCATCTTCCAGCCAACCAACCCGTCCGTCCACTGCTGCTGGCAACACTGCTGGCAACGCTGGTGGCAATGCTGCTGGCAACGCTGCTGGCAATGCTGCTGGTCCAGCTAGCTCTGGTACTCCTATCCCTGGCCACCTTTCCACTCACTCCCACTCCTCCACCCCTCCCCGATCCACCTCCTCCGCTGCAGCCTCCCCGTCCCCCTCCTCCGCGCTCCTCCCGCCCTCCTCCTCCTCCCTCCTCTACCACCGCCCTGACAGCGCTGGCTCCTCCTCCTCCTCGCGCCGCTCCCGCAGTGCAGGCATGACTATGGTTGACTTTGCTGGAATCACTGCCCCCTCGCCTGTAGCAGAGCCTGTAGCTGGGTCCGTAGAGGCAGCTGTAGCAGGGCCTGTAGCAGGGTTTATGGAGGGGGGAGAGGTGTGGGGGGGGGCGCGGAGTGGTAGCCAGGGGGTGGGGCAGCATGGGCGGGAGAGTGCGTTGGGGAGCAGAGAGCGGATGAGCTTTGGGGGAGGCGGGGATATTGTGGATGGGCGGGAGAGAGACAAGGGGAGGGAGGGAGAGGGGGAGAGGGAGGGGGAGAGGGAAGGAAAGGATGAGCGTGATGTGTGGGAAGCGCTGCAGGCACGCAGTGCATTGAGTGGTGGTACTGCTGCCAGTGGTGCTGCTGGTGGTGATGGCCCTGCTGCTGCTGGTGCTGTTAGTGTTGGTGTTAGTGGTGTTGACGATTTTACTGCTGGCACTGCTGGTGGTGAGCGTGAGGGCGCTGAGGATGCTGATCCTGCGCCTGTGGCTGCAGGGTGCGCTATTGGCCGCAGTGTGGGGGGGAGGGGGGCACCAGGGGAGGCATCACTGCGTGTGTGGTACAGTGGGGGTGAGGGGAGGGCGGAGGGTAGGGGCGAGGGTAGGGGGGCGGAACGGACAGCGGAGGGGGCAGGTAGGCTGGAAGGGGTTAGAGAAGCGAGGGGGGTTGAGGGCGCAGGTGTTTTGGGAGGGGTGAGCGCAGCAGGGATAGGAGAGAGAGTGGATGCAGATGCTACAGGTGCAGTGGGGGGGGCAGAGCAGGAGCAATTGCGAGAGGAGGTTGAGGGGCCGAGCACGCCCAGAGGCATGGGGGAGGGCAGGGCAACCGGGCGCACAGGAACGAACAGACCAGCAGCACATAGAGGGGATAGTATAGGAAGGGAATTGGGAGGGGTGAAAGGCGAGAAGATTGGAGGAGAAGGGCAGGGCAGCATAGAGCAAGGAGCAGGAGGGGGAGCAGGAGAAGGAGGGGGAGCAGGAGAAGGAGGGGGAGGAGGAGGAGGAGGAGGAGGAGGAGGAGGAGGAGGAGGCGGAGGAGGAGGAGGAGGAGGAGGAGGAGGAGGAGGAGGAGGAGGAGGAGGAGGAGGAGGAGGAGGAGGAGGAGGAGGAGGAGGAGGAGGAGGAGGAGGAGGAGGAAGAGGAGGAGGGGGAGTGGGAGGAGGGGGAGGGGCAGGGACAACCGTGGAAGGGAGTGGCGTTGAAGGCATTCACACGGGTGCAAGCACGGGAGGGAGCAGCCAAGCAGCAGAGCAGAGGCAGAGTATTCTACAGGCTTACATGCAGAGGAAAAGCTTCAATGGGAAGAATCCTACAGCTGAGCAGGTGTGGGCTTGGATTCTAGGCCATGATGATGATGAGGAGGGGGGGGGGGGGGGGTGGAGGGGAGAGGAGAGGGAGGAGGGGAGGCGAGGGGAGGCGCAGGTGGTGGGAGTGAGAAGGGGAGCAGAGGGAGCAGGGGGAGCAGGGGCAGTAGAGGGAGCAGTGGAGGGGTGGAGAGGGATGGGGGGGAGGGGGGAGGAGGGGGGGCTGGGGAAGGAGCAGATGGGAAGAAAGCGGGGAGGGGAGAGGGAGGAGAGGGAGGAGAGGTTGTGGAGACGAGCGAGAAGGAGGAGGGGGGCGAAGGGGGAGAGGAGGAAGGAGGGCAGAAGGCGCAGTTGACGGTTGATCCGGTGGTGGCTGCAAGGCTGGGTGTCACGGTGGAGCGCGTTGCTGACTGGCTGTGGACGCTGCATAAGATATGTGAGTAGCCTTGGCACGTCCCAAATCCAGGTATGCGAGGGGGCGAAGGGGGAGGGGAGGAGGAGGGAGGGCAGAAGGCGCAGCTGACGGTTGATCCGGTGGTGGCGGCTCGGCTGGGTGTCACGGTGGAGCGCGTTGCAGACTGGCTGTGGACGCTGCATAAGATATGTGAGTGCAACCCCACAAGGTGTGTGAATACAGTGAAGGAGGAGGGGAGGAAGAGGAAGGAGGGCAGAAGGCGCAGTTGACGGTTGATCCGGTGGTGGCGGCAAGGCTGGGTGGCACGGTGGAGCGCGTTGCTGACTGGCTGTGGACGCTGCATAAGATATGTGAGTGCAGCAGAGCAGGATGTGTGAGTAGCTAGAGCTGAGCTCCTTTCAACAGCGGCGGATGTGGCGTGCATGGACCGCCACATGGCGTTCTACCAGACAGAGAGGAACCAGCATATTCATTGGTTGCCCTCGTTAAACTTCAAAACCTCAACCCTATGGTTTTGTGACCCTCCCCTTCACCAGCAGTGGACGTGGAGCGCACTGACAGGCACGTAGCGTTCTATCAAGTGGAGAAGAACCGATGCCTTCCCTCCTCATCCTCAGCCCTCCTCTCTCATCTGTGACTTTCCTTCTCTCCTATTTCGTGCCTTCCTATCCCCAGCCGTGGATGTGGAGTGCACGGACAGGCACATGGCGTTTTACCAGGCGGAGAGGAACCGGGCCACCATGTGTGACATCCCTAGAACTCCTATGCCCTCTCCTCTCCACTCCCCTCCTCTCCTTGCTCCTTCACCAGCGGTGGATGTGGAGCGCACTGACAGGCACATGGTGTTCTACCAGGCAGAGAGGAACCGGTGCCCTACCTCTTCATCCCTTGCCTTCCCTTCCCACTTATTTCGTGCCCTCCTCTTCCCAGCGGTGGATGTGGAGCGCACTGACAGGCACATGGTGTTCTACCAGGCAGAGAGGAACCGGTGTCCTACCTCTTCATCCCTTGCCTTCCTTTCCCACTTATTTCGTGCCCTCCTCTTCCCAGCGGTGGATGTGGAGCGCACGGACAGGCACATGGCGTTATACCAGGCAGAGAGGAACCGCGCCACCATGTGTGACATCCCTAGAGCCACAACCTGAGGCTCTCTATCCTCTCCCTAAACCCTATGTTGCTGTGTCTCTCCTTGCTCCCATCCCCAGCTGTTGATGTGGAGCGCACGGACAGGCACATGGCGTTCTACCAGGCAGAGAGGAACCGCGCCACCATGTGTGACATCTTGGCCGTGCATGCCTGGATCGACCCCGCTACTGGCTTCTGCCAAGGTGCGCTGTGCTTGTGATAGCCATACCAGCTGTGTGAGGCACAGGTAGCTGTAAGGTGTGGAGAGGAGAGGCGCACCAGCTGTGAGATAAGATGCAATTCGCTGGGCAGACCACACAGAGGAACCGCGTCACCATGTGTGACATCCTGGCAGTGCATGCCTGGATCGACCCTGCCACTGGCTTCTGCCAAGGTGTGTGTAGCACAGTGGAACGACCAAACAAGGCGTGTTGCGATAGCAGTATGGGACAATGATATGCGGCAATCAGGCAAGGTGTGGCGTGATAGCAGAGTAGCAGCATGCCAAGATTTCAGCATGCCAAGATTTCAGCATGCCAAGATTTCAGCATGCCAAGATTTCAGCATGCCAAGATTTCAGTATGCCAAGATTTCTGTATGCCAAGATGACATAACAGTATCAACTTCGCACCCTTCACCATGCTCTGCTCTGTGCCCACCCTGTCCCCTCCTTTGCCCTGTGTCGCCTCCATGCACCCTCCCTCCATCATCTCCCCCGCTCCCTACATCCCGCTTTGCCTCTAACTAACCACCAGGCATGTGCGACATCCTCTCCCCATTCATCATGCTCTACGGCCATCCTGCTCCTTAGCCCTGTGTCGTCTCCGTGCGCTCTCCATGCATCATCTCCCTTCCCTCCGCCCCCCCCCCCCCCTCCCTCCCCTCACCAGGCATGTGCGACATTCTTTCACCATTCATCATGCTCTACGCCCATCCTGCCGACGCCTTCTGGTGCTTCGAGTGCCTCTTCTCCCGCATTGTAAGCCCTGTGACTGCCACCCATCCCATGCCACACAATGTAAGCCCTGCCACCCGTCCCACGCTTGACTGCCCCTGTCTCACAATGTCTCAAAGCTGGTGCTTCGAGTGCCTCTTCTCCCGCATTGTAAGCCCTGCCATCCTACCCATCCCATGCTTCACCGGTTCCGTCTTACGACATATCCAGTGCCTCTTGTGCCCCTCCCTCTGCCTGCACCATCTCCACTTTACTTGCATCTGAAAGAACCCGCCTCTTCATCCTCCACCCTCCCGGTCCCTCCTCCCCCTCCAACTCCTTCTCCCTTCCATTTCCCCTCCTCTGCCTCCCTCCTCGCCCTCCCCCTCTCCCCAACCCTCAGCGGCACAACTTTGTGCTGGAGGGGCCTGTGGGCATCCTGCTGCATCGATTTGCCATTTCTTCCACTCCCTCCCCTCCCCGCCCCACACTCCCCCCCCCCCACCCCCCCTTCCCCCCACCCCCTAGCGGCACAACTTTGTGCTGGAGGGGCCGGTGGGCATTCTGCGGCAGCTAGCGGTGCTGCGGGACGTGGTGGCGCTGGTCCCCCACACACTTCCCTTCCCCGTTCCCTCCTCCACCCCTACTCTCCCCCCCCCCCCCCCAACAGCGGCACAATTTCGTTCTGGAGGGGCCGGTGGGCATTCTGCGGCAGCTAGCGGTGCTGCGGGACGTGGTGGCGCTGGTGGACCCCGAGCTCGCCTCCCTCCCATCCCCCGAGCTGACCCTCCACGACCTCCCTCCTCCCCTCTACCTGCACCATCCTCACCCTCTAACTACCTCTAAAGAGCGTTCTTTCTCGTCCTCCACCCTTCTCCCTGCCTCCCTCCCTACCCCCCCTCCCCCCCACGCCCCCTCCCCCCCCTCCAGCGGCACAACTTTGTGCTGGAGGGGCCGGTGGGCATTATGCGGCAGCTAGCGGTGCTGAGGGACGTGGTGGCGCTGGTGGACCCCGAGCTGGCCTCTGCCTTCCTCTGCCCCCCTCCCTTCCCCCCGTCCCTGTATCTGCCTGCACTGCTGGCGGTGCTGCGGGGCGTGGTGGCGCTGGTGGACCCCGAGCTCGCCTTCGCCTTCCTCTGCCCCCCTCACAACTCCACCCCCCATCCCCCCCCACCCTAACCACACTCCCAGCGGCACAACTTTGTGCTGGAGGGCCCGGTGGGCATTCTTCGGCAGCTAGCGGTGCTGCGGGACGTGGTGGCGCTGGTGGACCCCGAGCTCGCCTCGCACCTGGAGGAGCTTGGAGCGGATAACTGCATGTTCGCCTTCCGCATGCTGCTGGTTCTCTTCAGAAGAGAGCTGCCGCTTGTGGACGTCATTGTGATGTGGGAGGTGCGTTGGTTAGAAGTAGTAGGTAGGTTTGAGGAGAATGTGGCTAGTTACCTCACCTGGAGGAGCTGGGCGCGGATAACTTCATGTGATGTGGTAGGTGGGTGTGAGGGAGGAGGTGCGTTGCCTAGAAGGTGCATTGGTTAGAAGAAGGTGGGTTGTGGTTTTGACTCGCGAATGGCATCCGTGCTCCTCCATCACCCCCCTGAGGGTCTCAACCTGGTCGCCGAGCCGCACACCTGGTCCACCGGCCCCCTCTCCCCCCTCGACTCCCCCCTGGTTGCTCCAACCTCGTTGCCGAGCCCCACACCTGGTCCACTTTCAAGTCGACTCAGCAGTGCCCTCCCCCTTCCCCCTTCCCCCTTCCCCCGTTCCCCACTGTTCCCCATCCTCTGTTTCCCCAGATGATGTGGGCGGCGGACTTCGACTCACGGATGGCGTCCGTGCTCCTCCACCACCCCCCTGAGGGTCTCAACCTCGTAGCCGAGCCGCACACCTGGTCCACCGGTCCCCTTCCCCCTCTCGATTCCCCCACCAACGACGCCGCCACCACCCCCGTACCGTTCTCCACCGCTTCCAACCAAGGCTCGGGGTCGTCTCTAGGGGGGTTCGACGTGATGGGGCTGGGGGGGGGGAGGAGAGGGGGGAAAAGGAGGTCGGGGCAGTTGACGGCGCAGGATGTGGAGGGGGGGGCGAGTTTGATGTCTCAGTGGGGGGAGGCGCGGGTGGGGGATGAGGATTTGGCGGTGTTCTGTGTGGCGGCCATTCTGAGGGTCAACCGGAAGAGACTGCTGCTGGTGGAAGGGTCTGACGAAGCCATCAAGGTGGGTCTCTACGCACTCTTAGCCCCTCCCTCTCATCTTGTCCTCGCTCCCCCACCATCAGATGTTCAACGATGTGGAGCTGGTGTTGGACGTGGTCTCCTGCATCGACCTGTTTTGCTGCTCCCTAACCTCTATACCCTTCACAACACTGTTCTCACCATCATCAATTCCCCGTCTCTGCACCTCTCTGCCCCTCCCCCACCATCAGATGTTCAACGATGGTGCTGGACGTGGTCTCCTGCATCCACTTTCGCACTCCCTAACCTCTCTACCCTACACACCAATGCTCTGTTACCGCTCTCTGTCCCTCTCAACCCATTAGATGTTCAACGATGTGGAGCTGGTGCTGGACGTGGTCTCCTGCATCCACCTCGCCATCAAGCTCCGCACCAAGTACTTTCGAAAGGTGTGTACATGCAAACAAGCACCTTCTTATGTGTGTTTCAATGTGCTAAATTTACACTGCTTATATACATATGTATGGTTTTTTATTATGTCAGGCCTGGCTTCTAGGTTCACAAGCTGATGCTCTTGACATTTATGTTTCCCCTTTCACACCAGATGCCCAACCCCTCACTAACTGTCCTCCCTCATGTCCCTCCCTCCCTCCCTCCGTTGGTTATTCTCCGTGTTATTCCAGGCTCCACGCGGCATCAGGGCTCGATAGCATCTCAAAGGCCATTCAGGCTCGATAGCACACTCAAGCTATGAGAATCTTGCTCTCATATTCACGAATCTGCCTTTTTATTCTGGGTGGTGAAGCATGGCGTCAATGAGAAAGAGCATTTGGTGCTCCGATGCTTTTTTTCCAAATGATTGGAGCATCCTGTATTTTGAAATAAAGAATTAGTGGCTTTCAGATTATGCGAAGCCACACACCTGAGATTTAGCTAAAGATTTAGTCTCCTACCATGTGGTCTTTAGGGCTTTCATTGCAAGCTAGCTTGATTCCTTAATGTTAGTCAAATTGGTTTTTACAGTCCAACAGCTACACTGTACCGTAACATTATCGGAGTTTCCTCCTGCGTCGCATGCTTCTCGTCGTGTCCCTCCACATGTCGCCCAGTCAGTTCCTCGACTGCACGAAAACATCAAATTGCCCTCCGATCAAGGTCGAATCGACGGCTCTTAACAATCCTTTGGATACACAAACATGTCAGACAACTCCCGCCAAATTCACTCATCCATCTGTCCACAGTCCACCTAGATTCTACCTCCTAGACTCAGCTATGTGTCTGGTCAAGAGAGGATGATATTGATGTAGACGCAGCTTTCATAAATTGACGGCTAGCAGTAAAAAACCTTCTCCAATAGCATGACTCCAGCGTACACCATAGCCGCGCCGTCATCAGGCATCCATGCAATTCTCATTGACTCACACATGCCCGACAAGTGGCCGAGCCAGTGTCAGGCACGCGCCATCGACATGGCTTACTCAGTGAGAAGGACCTTTTTCTCTGTTCCTTGGAAATTAATTCCAGGTGCACACACGCTCGCGTCGCCCAAACCATCTCGCCGTGCTGCCTGGAATCGAGAGAGATTGATCCACACTGCTTCCGCTCTGTTCGTTCAATACGGTTTGACTTGGTTGTGCTCGGCTGGACGGGGTCCAAGTCGGTTCCTCTCAGTTCCATCGCTCGCAATCGCGGGCTCGTCTAGCTGATCGCGTCGCGTAGGCGGGGATTCTCGCATCTCGCGATTCGATTCCCCTCCGATGCGCTCGTTTAGCAGCACGGGACGGAAACTGCTTTCTGTGAACCCATCACGATTGTTTTGTCGTCCGAAGTGCTCGTACTCATGTAGCAGCACAGAACGGGAGTTGCTTCCTGTTGAGTTACCCCGGCAAAAGGAGGTTGGGTCGACTTGCAGAATTCCCTGGATTCTTTCATTCCTTTCAAATCTCTAGAAGGGCCCATTCACCTGAAAGCGGCTTAGGAGGGAGCTGTTTCCCCTTGACACTCGGCACACGTCCTTCTGAAACAACGATAGCCAGGTTACCGTTGGGGTTCTCATCTGCTCCTCATGGCTTCCTTGTGCGCCGCCTCGCCGCGTTTGGCGCCGCCTTTGACGGCCATGGCGTCGCCAGCTCGTGCTGCCACGTGCGCACCCGTTACAACGTTACCACCCCGTGCTGTTCACCTAACATCCGCTACAATCACACCCGTCCAGAGCGTCATACGCCACAAGCTGCACCGTCAGATCCAAGCCGCTGCTAGGCGCTGCACTGGAGTGCCAATGGGAAGAAGAGCCGTTACCAGCGTGCCTGGAGTGTCGCGGAGCGTGCCTCGCGCTGCTCTAAAGGATGGTGCAACTGAATCCACTGCTGGTGCTGGTCGGGTTGGAGAGCCTGGGGACGGGAAGGTGCAGCAGCCTGCCCAGGCTTCCGTGGCCACACGCGGGCCGTCTAAGACGGTTGCGGAGGAGGCTAGGGGATACCTGGAGAAAGCAGAGGAGGATTTCTTACAGGTGAGCTTTGGGACGTCGCAAAACTTACGTTATGTCCCAACAGGCATTAAGGAGGAGGCGAGGGGGTGTTTAGAGAAGGCTGGGGGGAATTTTTTGCAGGTGAGCCTTCAGAGTACCACTTTTGATTAACTCCTCTGCTCGTTTTTCTTGCAAGGGAACAATCTTCCCCGTTCGTCCTCTTTCCTCCGTACACACACAGTCTTTCTCCGCCCCCTCTTTTGCCCTCCAGTTCTGAAGCATCACAATACTTTGCACACAACCCCCTCCCATGTCCCTCCCTCCCTTTCTCCCCCGATCAGTTCACACAGCACCTGGGGCGAGCGCTCATCCTCACCACCATTCCTGGGGTTGTTCTGGAGACTCTGCGTGAGCTCTCAGGTGGGTTGCTCTTTGAGATACACATGGTGATCTTGAAATACCTTGATGTGAGCTCCCTGAATTGACGATGCGATTGGATTGTTATATATTGCAATAAAATTACATGGACCTCGTCTAACCTGAATATCCCTCATATCCATCCACCCCTCCCATGCCAACCACCCCTCGTGCCATACCATGCCCTTCCTCCGCTCATGCTCTCCCACCTATCATGCCACGCCCTGCCATTCCTCCTTTCATGCCTCTCATTGACGCCACCAGGCTCCAGGGTGCAAGGGTGGGACGTGGTCTGGTTCTGCTGGGCGGCAGGGCTTGTCCTGGGGTGCATGGTTGGGGTGGGCGAGGTCATGCAGAAGCACCAGAGACGGCGCGCTGCCGCCCGCCTGCCGCCCAGAAAAGTTGTCCTGACTGGAGGCTCCAGGGGCCTGGGCAAGGCTATGGCTCGAGAGTTCCTATTGGCTGGTGATGACGTGTTGCTGACATCAAGGAGGTAAGCGAAGCGATGACATGGTGCTGACATGGATCTGTCACAGGCTCTAATGTCACGCGCTCGTGCTTTTCTTCCGGCACACCGCTCAATAGCTTCCCTCCTCGCCTCCCCCTCAACAGCCTTTTCTCGCTCTTTAATATGATCTTCACCACCTCACCTCCCCCTCCCGCCCCCCCCTCATCGTTCAAACACATTCCCCCGCCTGCCCGCACCCACCCTCACGTCCCTTTGCATGTGCCATTTTTCCTCTGATGAGGAGACCTTTTAGGCGCCCATAAGACCCCCTTCCCCCCTGTATTTCTCCAACATGCTGTGCCATTCTCTCCCATTTTCCAGTGAGGAGGGGGTGGAGGAGGCACTGAGAGCCCTGCAGCAGGACACGTGGCACATCACAGGGCGCGCTCCCTTGGCTGTAATGGTCAAGGCAGAATCCAAGCAGCCTGGGTCAACGGAGTCAACGCAGTCAACCAGGTCAGCTTCACTCTGCTCAAAAGGCACCTCGGCCAACCACATGGCACTTCCCAGGGCGCTCATTCCCGGCTGTGCTGGTCTAAGTCAAGGCGAGTCCTGGGTGGGTCAATGGAGTCAACGCAATCAACCAGGTCAGAACCGAGTCTCCTATAAATCTATGATACTGGGCCTGGCCCTACCATCTTGTGTTGAGGCGCCTCAAAACAAAAACAATTAAGTTTTGAGGCGCCTCAAAACAGTCAACCAGGTCAGAACCGAGTCTCTTATGATACCGGGCCTGGCCCTACCATCTTGTGTGCTCTGTTGTCCCCCTCACCACCTGGTAGGAACATCTTATGATTCCGCCTATCTATTATGTGATGGAATGTCTTCAGAATTCCAAGACGCCTCAAGAATCACCTTCTTTGTGATGTGTGCTTTTTCAACCAGGGAAGTATGGGAGCTGCCGCAGGCTCATGGGGAGCAGCAGCAGGAGAAACGGCACCATGAGCAGCAGGATGATCATCCACAGCTGTCCGGGCGGCAGAGAGTGGTTGGGATTGCGTGCGACGTGCCTTTGAGAATTCTCAACTCAAATACACCCCGTTTTCATGCAGGGAGGTATGGGAGCTACCCCAGGCTCATGGGGAGGAGCAGCAGGAGAAAGGGCACCATGAGCAGAAGGATGATCATCGACAGCTGTCCGGGCGGCAGAGAGTGGTTGGGGTGGCATGTAACGTGCTTTTGAGAATTCTCAAATACACCTGATTCCATGCAGGGAGGTGTGGGAGCTACCCCAGGCGCATGGGGAGCAGCAGCAGGAGAAACGGCACAATCAGCAGCAGGATAATCATCCACAGCTGTCTGGGCGGCAAAAGAATTCTCAGATATCCTTTTTTTGCCATGCAGGGAGGTGTGGGAGCTGCCCCATGCGCATGGGGAGGAGCAGCAGGAGACACGGCACCATGAGCAGCAGAGAGTGGTTGGGATTGCTTCTAACATGTTCCTGATAATTCTCAAACACACCCTTTTTCATGCAGGGAGGTATGGGAGCTGCCACAGACGCATGGGGAGCAGTACCATGAGAAGCGGCGCCATGAGCAGCAGGATGATCGTCCACAGCTGTCTGGGCGGCAGAGAGTGGTTGGGATTGCCTGCGATGTGCTTTTGAGACATGCTTTTAGACACACCCTTATTCCATGCAGGGAGGTGTGGGAGCTACCACAAGTGCATGGGGAGGAGCAGCAGGAGCGCCACGAGCAGCAGGATCATCCACAGCTGTCTGGGCGGCAGATAGTGGTTGGGATTGCGTGTGATGTGCGGTCGGCAATCGACGTCCAGATGCTCGCTGACGTGGCGGGGCAGGAGCTGGAGCGAGTCGATATCTGGGTGAGTGAGCTGGCATTACCATTGGAACCCGGCATTGGCTTGTAGCAACTTATGCTACATTGTGCTGAATTGTTCTGACTGTGTTAGGCGTTTGTTGAATCCCATTTTTTATGTTCTTGTTGTCACTGGCGTTGACTTGCGTTTACCTGTGTTGACCACGCCAGGTGAACAATGCGGGCACCAATCCCATGGCAAAGCCCTTCGTTGACTTAGAAGACCACGAGCTGGAGCAGGTGAGCTGTGCTGACTTGCATTCACTGACGTTGACTTGAGTCGAATTGAGGTGAGAGCAGGTGAAAGCTGGAGCAGGTACGAGGTGGAGCAGGTACGAGGTGGAGCAGGTGAGAGCAGGTGAGAGCAGGCGAGAGCAGGCGAGAGCAGGCGAGAGCAGGTGAGGGGTGGAGCGGGTGAGAGGGGGAGCAGGTGAAGGCTGGTTCAATTCCCCCCTCGCACTTCCTCTCTCCCCATCCCGCCAGGTGGTCTCCACCAACCTGCTGGGCTCGCTGCTCTGCACGCGAGCAGCAATGCACCTCATGCAGCAGCAGCCGCAGCAGCCATGTAACCAGGACCATAGAGTTGACCATATGGCAGGCCCGGTGTTCAGCCCCGTCTCTCTCTTCCTGTCCATCCAGGTTGTCTCCACCAACATCCTGGGCTCGCTCCTCTGCACGCGGGCAGCAATGCGCCTCATGCAGCAGCAGCAGCAGCCTTGCCCCCCAGGCCATATGTCCGGCCTTATGTTCAACCTCAGCCTCTCCCTATGCTTCTCCCCATTCCACCAGGTCGTCTCCACCGACATGCTGGGCTCTCTCCTCTGCATGTGCGCAGCAATGCACCGTGTTCAATCTCTTCTCTTCATTTGTTGACTCCTCGCCTCGCACTTCCTCCCTCCCCATTCCACCAGGTGGCTTCCACCAATCTCTTGGGCTCGCTCCTCTGCACGCGGGCAGCAATGCGCCTCATGCAGCAGCAGCAGCAGCCTTGCCCCCCAGGCCATATGTCCGGCCTTATGTTCAACCTCAGCCTCTCCCTATGCTTCTCCCCATTCCACCAGGTTGTCTCCACCAATCTCTTGGGCTCGCTCCTCTGCACACGAGCAGCAATGCGCCTCATGCAGCAGCAGCAGCAGCCTTGCCCCCCAGGCCATATGTCCGGCCTTATGTTCAACCTCAGCCTCTCCCTATGCTTCTCCCCATTCCACCAGGTTGTCTCCACCAATCTCTTGGGCTCGCTCCTCTGCACACGAGCAGCAATGCGCCTCATGCAGCAGCAGCAGCCGTCCCTACCAGACCAAACAGCCGGCCACGTGTTCAATTTGGAAGGGGCAGGGTCGTGGGGAGGCGCAACCCCCCAGTATGCTGCCTACGGTGCCACCAAGTGTGCGCTCCGGCAGCTGGGTTTGTCGCTGGTGGAAGAGGGGCGGTTGGGGGGGCGGGTGGGGGGAAGTGAGCTGGGGAGTGAGGTGGCGAGTGCGGGTGGGAGCGGGGGGGCGAGTGAGGGGGCGAGCAGAGGGGCGAGCAGTGGAAAAGAGGTGGAGAAGGGAAGCGGGAGGAGGGGAAGGGTGGGTATTCACGCGGTGTCACCAGGGCTGGTGCTGACAGATCTGCTGCTGAGTGGAGCGACGGTGGCCAACAAGCAAGCATTCAACATCGTGGGGGAACACCCTGAGACTGTTGCGCGTGTCCTCGTACCTCAGGTGCTGTGCGGTGCTGACTGATGGGTGGTTTGGTTAGGCTTAGGTGGATGGGTGTGCACGCGGCGTCCCCAGGGCTGGTGCTGACGGATCTGCTGCTGAGTGGAGCGACGGTGGCCAACAAGCAAGCATTCAACATCGTGGGGGAACACCCTGAATTACCGTCGCGCGCGTGCTCGTGCCCAAGGTAGAGTAGCCATGTGATAAAAAAGTGTTTTAAGACGTCTCAAAACACTTCTTTTTACCGTCGTCCGTGTGCTCGTGCCCCAGGTAGTGTGCCTCAGTGGTGGTCCATTCGCTTTTGTGTATTTTGCCTCTTAAGCTTCGTACTTAGTATGTTTTTGTTGTATATTTTTCTGTGCATCTGTGTTCTCTTCTGCCTGTATCAGATGCGCACTGTAAGGGGTACGGGATCCACAGTGAGCTACCTCACACCGCCCCGCATAGTCCTGGCCATCCTGTCTGCTTGGATGCGCCGAGGCCGCTGGTTCGATCAACAGGTGAGGAGAAGGGGGGATATCAGATGCGCACTGTAAGGGGTAAGGGGTACGGGTTCCACAGTGAGCCACCTCACACCGCCCCGCACACCAAGAGGTGAGGAGAAGGGGGGAAATCAGATGTGCACTGTGAAGGGTATGGGGTCCACAGTGAGACTAGCCACCTCACACCGCCCCGCACACCAAGAGGTGAGGAATTGGGGGAAAGCAGATGCGCACTGTGAAGGGTACGGGGTCCACAGTGAGCCACCTCACACCGCCCCGCATAGTCCTGGCCATCCTGTCCGCCTGGATGCGCCGCGGCCGTTGGTTCAACCAACAGGTGAGGAGAAGTGGGAAAATCAGAGGCGCACTGTAAAGGGTAAGGGGTACGGGGTCCACAGTGAGCTACCTCACACCGCCCCGCATAGTCCTGGCCATCCTGTCTGCCTGGATGCGCAGAGGCCGCTGGTTCGACCAAGAGGAAAGGCGAGGAGAAAGGGAGAGTGGCTGGAAGCCTTGGATTTAAGTTACAGTACCTCTCTATAAGCTATAGTGATTAATTTGCTGTTGGCTTGAGCGATGGGCCGTTGTCCATACCTCTCTTCCTTGCAGGAGCAAGGCGTCTATGCAACCAGACTAACTTTTCAATCATTCAGTAAATCGCTCCTTCCTCCGTACCTCCTTTCACTCCAGGGACGGGCCGTGTATGCAACGGAGGCGACTTTCCAGCCGGGATTCAAGATTCCCTTCAGGGGCAGGGAATCTCATTCAGTAAATCTTCCTTTTCTCCGTACCTACTCTCTGTATGTGCCTTCTCTCTGTATTGCCTCCTCTCCCTGCAGGGTCAGGCCGTGTATGCAACGGAGGCACAGAGGCTGCGGGCATGGGCGGAGGGCAGAGGCAGGTCGGCTATCGGGGCAGTGGTGGATGCCGTGGCCAGCACAGCTTGGCTCTCCGTCACCTTCTCAGTGACTTTTCTGAGTCCACTCATAAGTACCCTTTTCTCTCTACCTGGCTTCATTGCTTGCAGGGTCAGGCCGTGTATGCAACGGAGGCACAAAGGCTGCGGGCATGGACGGAAGGCAGAGACAGGTCTACGATCGGCACAGCGATGGACGCAGTGCCCAGCACAGCCTGGCTTTCCCTCGCGTCTTCATCACTTGGCGTGTGTCTCATCGTGGCATCAATGCTTCTGCAGAACTCAGGAACGTAGATAGGGAGTTGTCGGAACCATAGACTGGATATGGTAGAGATTGGATGTGGATACATAGAGATGGAATGTGGATAGAGATCTGTGAATCTATATGTTTGAATGTGGGTGTGTTTGTGTGTGATGTGATCCATTTCTGACTGCGCGTTCTTTTAACTGTGCCACATATCACCCCTGTAGCACTGGGGGGGGCATGTGAATAATTAGCCACTGATGTACCGTAGATGGTGGTGGTGGACATGACTCCTCGCGCAGCATAGCTCACTTCGCTCCATTGTTTGTTGGAATAATTTTTTTGTAGCCACACCCTGAGCTCAAGTAGTGCACACATACTCCATTACAAAAATTGAAAAGATGGGTTGAATAAATTGAAAATATTACGGGTCTGAAGTTAGGTGTGTGCGTTTCTTCCTTGAACGAAAGAAAAAAGGAAAGAAAAACGGACCACATGGTTTAATCAGATTATCTGACCCTGTAACGTAAATCCAACGATCACGGTTTTGTGGTTTGGAACGGATCGGGTGCTAACGGAAATTTAGAGTGGTTGTTGTCAGATAACTTCTAGGTTGCCGCTTCGGCTTGGCATTCAAGCAGAAGCCATGGCTTTGCCATTCATCCGTGAGCTTCCAGAGCATGTGTCAAGGAAGGTTAGGTCTTCGGTTGTCGTCCCTTCACTATCGCAGCTTACGGAAGAGCTAGTTTGCAACAGCCTCGACGCAGGAGCTACAGAGGTGAACAGCTTGATGGACTCGTAGTGATTGCCAACTCCTTTTTAGCTCGATGAACGCAGAGTGAAAGTACCCGTTACGGTCTGTGGACAGGTGTCTGTGACGGTCGACTCATCAGCGGCGACAATTAGAGTGGATGATGATGGTAATGGTTATGCGTCCGTTGGCCGACTAGGTGAATACATTCGACTCATTTCACAATTATCCTCCGTTCACAGGCTGTGGTATATCGCGTGATGACCTGGTGCTACTTGGTGAGCGTCAAGGTGCGTCAAGAAAACGTTGAAGTGCTTCCTGGTCGTTGTCGTTCATGTCCTTTCAGAAGACCACCTCCTTACCTTAGCTTCCTTTAATCAGCGACGTCGAAGCTTCAATCGATAACGGAGCTTGATGCTGGTCCAACTACATTGGGATTTCGTGGAGAAGCACTTTTTTCCATCATGGGTCTCTCTCTGGTCGAGATTGTGACTCGTGCGAAGGGGTCTGCTAGCACGTACTGCAAGATTTGTAAGGTGAGTCATTATTCTCTACATTGTTAGTGTATGGAGTAAAATCTGGGCTTACGGCCGCCTGATGCAGGGTGGAAGAACGCTTTCTGTTGGAATGACGAAGAAGCTGAGATCAACTGGCACGACAGGTGCGCGCACTGTCTGGTTTTTGCTGCTGTGAGTATTGCCGCATCACATTGGATTGAGTCTGGTCTCCAATGTGTAACTGGTTGCAGTTATTGTTCAAGACATATTCTTCAACCAACCAGTCAGGCGACAGCTAGTGGAGAAGAAGTTAGTCCGCTTCTCCGACTGTGTTTCTTTCGTCCATCACCTTCGCTGTTTATAAAAACAGGACACTTCCCTGTTATGCACATGTCTCATGATTGTTGTTTACTTAACCCCACGTTCGATTCGTTTTGTCTCTAGCTTATCCAAGGAGATTCAGAGCATCAGGGACAGAGTTGGTCATTTGGCGTTCATGTATCCACAAGTTTCATTTTTGGTGGCGGATGCTGCTAGGTGAGAGCTTGAAAGTGAATGTATTCTTCTTAGGTGGATTATCTAACAGACGTTGTCAATCTTAAATTGAATGTGCACAGGAGCAAGGCTCTGCTATCATTGTCTGGTGGAAGGTCCGTGGGCTCCAGTGTAAAAGATGTGTTTGGAGCTGCCATTTTCGAGTCAATGAAAGAGATTGGCTATCAGAAGGGTGACTTGAGACTGTCTGGCTTCATCTCACAGCTTGTGCAACACGAGTCCTCAAGAGATATACAATACCTATGTAATCTTCTTCCCTTTCTCAAACCCAATAGATATACACTGCCTTTGTTAACGTGTCATTGGTGGTTTGGCAGACATTAACAAGCGGCTGGTGAAGAACACTCGATTTCACAAGTTGATGAATTCCAGCTTCAACACATCGCTCAGCTTGCTCTCAGAAGCTGAAACAGGCGCCGGGTTAAATGGTTTTCAGGACTTGATGTTTGTTGTTAACCTGTCATGCCCACGGTCCTCCTATGACATCACATTCGAGCCTACAAAGACATACGTGGAGTTTAAGGTACACAATGTTATTCCTTCATTGTATTTCGTTACTTTTGTCAGATCACGTTTTATTGTTTGGATGCTTGGATTGCAGAACTGGAAGGTTGTTTTGGAGTTTCTTCAAGAGGTCTTGCGTGACGTGTGGCCATCCAACAAATCGCCTTTGGCGGAATCAGGTTGGTGGCAAAAAAGCATGTTAACAACGATTAGACTGGAAGTCCGACTGACATTCTTTTGTTCTTCTGACCCTTATGTTTTCAGGCCCGATGATGCAACCGAGGAAGAAGAAAAGTCAGAAGCCATGGCAGAAAACTGATCCCACTTATCGGCCAAGCCATCCTATTGCGTTGTCCAGCAAATCAAGCAAGCACACACATGGTACCAGCCACCTGCTTCTTATTGAAGAATCAGGTGAAACGTCACATGAAGAAGGTCCGGGGTCGGCGTACAAAGTCAATCGGTTAAAATCCACAAGCAATCTGCGTTCCAGGGCTTGTCAAGCCAACATCACAACGAGAGAGAGCAGATACGAAGAGAACACTGACCAAGCTAGGGCGTCCACTTTGCATGTGGATCTTGACAACTCAAGCGAGTGCACACCGCGGTCCTTCTCTCAGCAGCACGATCATTGTCCAGAACTTTCTCCATTTGCATCAGCAAAAGACTCGTTTCTTCTGCCTACAGTAGCGAAAGGGAATTCGAGTAGGCCTACAAAAGATCATGACACGGAGTTTCCTGCTTCCAATCCGCTTGACTGGTCCCTGGATCTACGGGTAGGTAACATGCTGGTGGCGTACTGTTGGAGTGTATGTTGTGCGATATTTCGTAGCTGACGTTTTTTTGTTTTTTTTTTGGCAGCTGCACCCAGATGAGATGGACCTAGAGACTTCACGGTGCCTCTTTGGAAGAACAGGCCAGGATGATCAACAATCTCCGGAGCCCATGCCAAAGCGAAGAAAGAAAGTATCACTGGAAGAAAGACGTCATTCTGAAGGCGATGGACTTTCACATTGGCCGTGCATGCTTGATCCAGAAATGGTATCAGATGACTTGTTGCTGGCTGGCATGGAGGATATCCAGGGCATTCAGCCGCAAAGATCGATGAATGGGTACAGCGATTCAGCCTCGCTGAAGATTGCGCCTGATTTTCCTGCTGTTGGTTCGCTCGAGTTCCAAAAAGCTGTCGAGCTCATTGATCCGCTTATTGAAACCCAGACGGACCCAGCAAGAAAATCGCAGCAATGTGCAACGGAGTTGGACAAGCAGAAGTCATGGGGTCTGGTTGCCTGTGGAGGTAAGCACACTGACGTTTTCGGTGTTTTCCGCGTCTGGAATCACAAATTTTGGCTGAACACAGGAATTCGGTGGCAAAGTTGCAGGTGCATCTGAGACAGCAAAATCAGCAAAGAAAAGTTATCAGGAGCATGGCTTGACCCGTGGAGCTCTGGCTGCTTCGCCTTTGGTGATTGCAGAGGAAACAGGCAACAAGCCGAAGGATGCATGTGCATTGTCTATGGCTGAGAAGACTGCTGGACCAGTGGATCGGAGAGAAGAATCCGTACCAGCACCAGCGCATCTGGCTATTGTAGAAGCTCATCACGCTGATGAAGTAGCAGGCTGTTGTTGCTCATCCAAGTGGAGAGATGGGCATGCGCCTGCATGCACTGATAAGAACGATCCAGGCTTGACAAAGTCTGTGAAGGAAATGTACAAGGTAAGGTCTTCAAAGCTTGTATGAAGATATTAATCATTCACTTTCCTATTCGAAGCCTTTACTTGCTGTTAAAAATGTGTTATCTTTTATGCAGCATTGGTGCAAGACCAGCCTTGGCGAGAAGGAAGAGGTGGAGCCAGAAATTCTTGACTTACAGACACTGGCTTCCAGGTCCATGCAGTTTGATAGTCACAGAAGGCAACGTCGCCCCCTGATTCCAACCTCTGTTTCCAAAGAGACTCTGCTTCAGGCAAAGTGCTTGAAGCAGGTGGATGGGAAGTTCCTGATTGCCACTTCTGGCTCAACCCTGGTGGCCATTGATCAGGTAAGCAGTCAAACTATTTTGATGAGTGTGTTTTGTCAGCAGTGTAGTTCTTCTGACCACCGATATATATGTGTGCAGCATGCGGCAGATGAAAGGGTTTGTCTCGAGGAGCTACGCAAGGAGGTGAGTGAAGTTGCCTGTCTGGTTGAATTGGTAAGGTTCCATATTGTGCAAATTCTGAGTCTCTTTGATGGTGTTGCAGGTTTTGGAGAATCAGTCAGCCGTGGTGCCACTGCTCCTTGATACACCCTCTGACTTGGTGAGACACCATGTGTCAGCAAGGTAGACCTTGAACGTCCCACCCTGCCATTCATCAGATTGATATCTTGTGTTTGTTTTCCAGCCAATCACAGCTGGGCAAGAAGGGTGCCTGAGGTCATATAAAAGGCAAATAGAACGATGGGGATGGCGTTTTAAGCTCTCTACAACAGGTGACGCAGAAAAATCTTTCAGCACACATCGTTCGACTCAAATGGGAGCTGATGCTATGGCTATGCTTAGCCAATCAAGGTGAGTCCCAGATTCCTGAACATATGAATTTTTGTCTTCTTGTAGGGAGATAGCCAGTGCACGTTTGCCCCTGAAATCACTCCCTATGCCCCTATATCCCCCTCCCAGGCGTCCAGGAAAATCTCAGTGCACGCCCTCTCGACTTATTGTACTCGCGGTATGGATGTAATGCACATCCGTATCCATGTTTCTCCGTTTTATTTGAAATCCTCGTTTCGTTTTAAATTTCCACTTGCTCCCTTGCAACTGCAGGTTCCACACTTGCTGGGCACCTCTCTACGTGCAGAAGACATCCTCGACTACTTGCTGCAGGTAATTGGACGTACACACAGCTCGTGTGGATTTTAATCAGGTTCATCTAGTTCGTCCACTTCCATGATGCCGTTTTTTTTATGCTCATGTGACCTTGCAGCTTCAAGAAACTGGCGGCCTTGCATCTACACCACCGCGGGCAGTTGTGCAATTGCTTGCATCAAAAGCTTGTAGAGGTGAGTTGCTTCAGTGAGTGCTTCTTCCACATACAGTTTTTTTGGCAGTTCCACAAAGATCTGCTTTGTTGTGCAGGTGCCATCATGTTTGGAGACATGCTGAAGCTATCTGAGAGCTCCCAGCTCATTGAATGTTTGAAGCACACACAGCTGCCCTTCCAGGTGAACAAGTTAATCTGCCATATGCTGCTGTTTCTGGGTGCTGAAGGTGATACGCTGACATATGTATGCTGTGTGTATGGTGCAGTGTGCACACGGGAGGCCAACCATGGTTCCACTTGTGGACCTTGAAGAGCTGAAGCGATTGGTTGAAGGCATCGAGTTGCAGGGCAACCAGAAGGAGTTGGTGAGGACTTGCGTCTAGATCTATTCAGATGCATAGTGCCAAATGCTGGCGCTCAGAAGTTAGCAGACTGATGCAATCCAGCAGTTGCAGCCTAAGGGTGTGATATAGTTCATCTTAGGAGCAAGTTGACAAACAGGCTTAGAAAGTCATCCAAGAAATCTATACTCCACTCCATGTCCCTGCCATATACGTCAATTGCTTGGGAGCCTTGGGATCACAAGCTGTCCCATTTTGTGGTACATACACTTTCATCGTGCTAAAAGAGTACAGCACTGCAGTACGAGAAAACCCTGATTCTGGAATAACAAATATGTGACTCGATGCAAGTAGCAGCCAATCTGCCACAAGTTGACGGTAAGAATCAACCGCGAACTGTTCGTAAGCATCCTTCAATGATGTGATATTCGAATATTCTGGCATGTCTTGGAAATGGAGACCTGCTGCATGATCAGCAAACCTGTTGGAATGGCGAGGCAAAATCGGAGAGACGACAACCTGTATCGGAGAGAATGGAGAAAGGACATTGCGAGGGAGCGAGGATGTGAGGAGTGTCAACTTGGCAGGACTATATCTTTGACAGAAAGGAAAGTACAGCATTTGGAAAACTACCCAATATCCAAACATGGCCCCTTAGATATAGGAAAGAGAGACACAAAAAAACTTCACACCTTCGTAGGATACTTGGCTTTGAGGGACGATTTGAGCTGAGCTGAGTTGGAAACAATAAGCCAGCGAACCTCTACCGAACTGGGATACCACCAGTCTTGTACAGCCTGCAACAACAAGATATAGTACAAAACAATCACTCAGCAGGAAAATTTATTTGCCTCCCAACGTAGCAATTTTAAGTATATGTACACTCCAACTGGCAGAGGCTTGGGTTGGCCTCCCCTCCGTTTCACTCCCCACACATTTAAACAAACTTTTTGTAACAAGGAGGAGGAGCAAGTACCTGAGCGCACTCCAACATAGGCTGAGCTATCGCTTCTATCGCCGCCATCTCAGTTGCGTTGAGAGGCTTCGGGTCTCCTTCCCCTGATTCCCAAACCATTGCATCCGGGATCCGTATGTGCACTCCAATCGTCACAATGCCTTCACCCCGAACCTCTCTCTCCATCCCCTTAAGCTGTTCCCAAACCTCCTGCTTAGGTCTGGGGAAAGAGCACCACAAGCATTGGGTGTGGAAGGCACACAAGCTCATCACCCAACAGCAGAAGCAGGCTACACCCCCATCCGCAAAAAGCATCACCACGACGCCCTTCAAATTTCCCAAATTCACCTGGAAAGGAACCTGAGGATGCAGCCGACAGCATAGGGAGGCCTCAACCCCACCTGGCGAAATGCATCAGCCCAGGGACCCTGGCCTTTCTGAAAGAGGTGAATCAGGCGCCCTCTGTTCCACCTGACTCTCAGGTTCTTTGAGCGGGAGAACTTTGCAAGCCCCTCGATTGGCATCATGCTGACGTGGGGTGAAGGGCGTTGATCAGGGAATAGGGAGGGGAGGGAAGAGGGGAACCGAAGCGCACAATGAGACAGATGAATTGACCTCTGCTTTACTTAGGATTCCCAAGCTGCTGGGGAGAAAGAACTTGCAGGTCAATCCCAACTTAACAAACACTGTTGCGGATCACATTCTCGCTTTTACTAAGCAGCGCCGTTCAGAAAATCGCCATGCAAACATCGGTGCACTAAAAAGTGCAACATTGCTTACTTACTTATTGATCAGATCGAGTCTGAGCACCCCTTCATCTGTCACATTCTCCTTCTCCCTAGCCAGTGCCGTGCGATTAATCTCCATAGGAACATCCTCCGAAGGCCGCCAGTCAATGAATCCAGCAGATTCAAACCCTATTGGAATGCACTTGTGGTTGATAATGAATGCTCTTTTATCGAGTACAGCTGCGATGAAGGATGAGACGAGCCCTAGGAGCGTGTCTCCTAGACCCCCGCAGAATAAGAACCATTCAAAGGTGAAGAATCGGATGCTTGGGGTGATCGTAGCTGCAGCTTCTGCACCTCCTCCTGCTCCTGCTCCTGCTGTACTAGCTGCTACTGCTGCTGCTGTTAGTGGCATTCCTGCTCCAGCAGGAGCTGGAGCTGGTGCAGATGCTGCTGCTGCTCGTCTAGCCGCCGCTTCCCTGCTCGTCTGGCGAATCTCCCTGTGCAGCTGAACATACTCGTCTCGCCACCCGGTTCCACAGAGCGAATCAGGGTACTTGAAACCGAGGAGGAGCGAAGAGAGCTCGGCTCGGGAAGAAGACGAGGAGGCAGAGTAACCGAATGCTGTGTGAACCTGGAAAATGGGAGAATTACAGGGTGGACGTGAAGGACGAGAATGGTGAACGGAGGAAAGAATGGTTGGGATTGGGGTTAATGCTTGTGCAGTGCAGGCGGATGCAATTGAGTCGACGCGCCGTGCAGTCAGGTTATTTGAAGCCGAGGAGAAGCAGATGGAGCTGGCTCTGGGACGGAGAGGAGGAGGAGCCGGAAAGCGTGTGGATCTGAAATTTTTTTGAAGGCTGAATTGTAGGCAAACATGGTTGTGCAACCGAAAGGCCTTACGATGGTCAGGAGCGGCAGCAGAGACACGGCCATCGCACGGGCCAACACCAGCTTATACATTGTTAACTAAGTGTCTCAAGCCTTGTATCCCCAGTAAGAGCCTCTAAATTAGTGAAGAAACGCTGCTGGTGGCCAGGAATGCCCCGCTCAGGGTGCATTACTTGAACCAAGGTCCAGGTCAGAGGCAATGTGACATTTTTTCGCATGAAAATTATCGTTGCACAAATCAAAGGCGACTCGAGATATATAGCATTGACCCAGCCGACTAGAGACGTATTGTATTAGGGAATTGAAACTGACAGTCTGAATCTGATGGTCCAAAAGATGTAAGAACTCGAGTGTCAGCCAAGACATATGGTACCGAAGCGAACCGAACGAATGACTGACTGCAACTCACTCAAACACGGCGTCCAACGTCTCGGCTTCTGCGGTGAGCGATGATTCTGCGGTTGTGAATCCATGATCCCTCGCATGACAAGGATAAGGGTCATCCGTAATCCCTCATGACAAGGATTAGGCAAACTGCTGAATGGTCAAACCTCTACAGGGTTGGTGGGACCAAACCTAGAGTTCCAGCTTGCATCAGCCAACCACCTCCTAGTCCCTCCCATCCAAGGTTCCCTCTAACGATGTCTCTAGAGTCCCTCCCAAGTTGCACTAGGTGCACAAGCAAATGAGACGGCGGTCTAGCAGCACTAAGTGCAACTTGAGAGGGACTCTCCGTACAACTCCCTTGCAGATGTACAACTCGCTTTCAGATCTACAACTCGCTTGGAGTTCAAATTTTCCCGAAACCCTACCCAAACGCAGGGAATTGTGAATAAGCCGCTCTGACATGCACAACATCTCATTCCACCGAAATACAATGAGCTGATATGAAGACAACTCGTTTTCAGACACTAGAGCAGTTCCTTCAGGAATGCTTCACCAACTGTCCGCAGGAACCGCTCTTCACCGTTCTCGGAACAAGCAGCGGCCGCTGCAACCACTTCTGACCACGCGAAGCACAATTTCAACGAAGTGGCTCTACAAGAACTGGGTGCAAATGGTGCAAATATATTCTCAAATGGGCAAGATCAAAAATTGGGCAGCTGAATGTTTTTAATTCCCTTAGATAAATTCACTCTACAATAGGTTAAGACATTATATTTATCTTGCTCATTGTATAAATCCATCTCATATTTTCCAAAAAAGAAAGTTCAAGGCTGTTCATCACCAGTATCTAGTCCAAGTAATGTACTGCACAGACAGCAGCACCTCATGCAGTAAAAAGGTTGTTTCAGGAAAGTCCTAAGTTTACCTATACTAACAAAGCACGCGTACCGTACTACATTGTACACCCTACTTCTTCTCAAGGACAGCCTTATGCCCTTCATCCGCCACCAGAAGCGCCACCAGCACCACCCCAAGCATGGTCAAAATGAGCACAGTTCCTAGGTGAGCCAAATACCGCTGCATACCCCTCTCTGCGTTCCCCGCTTCCACACACCCCTCCACCTCTCCCCCCTTTTCCTTCGCATCCGCCTCACGCCGTGCCATCTCAACCGTCCATTTCACCCTATCAAGGTCCCCTTCCTTGACAGCCTTAACCAGCTCAGCCTCTCTATCAGCAAGAGCCGATCCCATAAGCTTTTTTCGGGACGGAGGGGGAGCGGGCCGGGACCAGAGGAACCGGGTGATTTGCCAGAGGAGTGGAGCGAGGTAGAGAGCGATAATAACATCAACCGAGTAGTGTGATCAGGCCGAGGACGACTGTGACGAACTGCACCGCAATAACCTCCATGGTGACTTCTAAAACAACTCAATCTCACCTCAATTTAATTATAGATTATGCCGATTTTACACTCACCCGCGCTGAAACTTACTTGTGCCAGTCGAGGCCGAGAACGACGGTGACAAACTGCACCGCAATAACCTCCACGACGAAAGCAAGCAGCATGAACCCAACGCACGCCAGGAACTTGGGCACGTTTCGAAACTCGTCCGCGAAATGGCGGTACCGCTGGCTCTGGACGACGCCAAGAATCCCGAGGAACGCCCATAGAGCCAGCGGGAATTTCGCCGCGACGTGCGGGGGGAGCCAGTCCGTTCGCGTGCAGACGAACTCTATCAGAACGTAGGCTAGACCGATGGTTCCTAGGTTTAGAACCTTCCGCGCGACGCGCAGCAGCGAAGACCCTAGAGTAGCGGAGGAAGAGGTCATCGTGTTGCAGGCGGAAGCGGATAGCTTCGAGGTGACAGGCAGTGAAGACGCCAGGTTGGAGAAGATCGTTAGAGCAGCAGGAGTTAGCTGTCTGTCAGCTCGATCAGCAAACGTCCTGTTTCTGTTCTGAGGCCCCTCGAAACTCGATCAAAAGACGTGCTACTTCAAGATGCACGATGAAGTCACGCAGCGTTGCAATCAGGACAGACGCCTCCGAACCTTATAAACCCGCAGTATCATTTCCGTCAACGGC